ATGTGAAAGGATGTTCAAGGGACAGAAAGAGATCAGCCGGCTCTGCTAGACAGCACAGGAGAGTCATTAGCGCCCTGGTTCTCATCCCAGGCAGATCCAAATCTGCCCCTCCCCAGCAGGCATGGCATGTGTCTCTGCAAGCACCCACATCCTTCTCCTCCAGGGATCTGCCTGGCAGCACCAGGATTAAGCGAATGACATGCGCAGAATGCCCGTGGTCACTGGCACCAGGAACAAGAGCTGTGTCGGACCTTGTTACCTTTGTCAGGTATTCAGGACAGTGACTGTGTTTGGAGCCCATGCCACCCTCCTCCAGAATGCATTGCTCATTAGCTCAGTGGCGCCCACATGGCCTGCTGTGTGCCAGGCATCATGCTGGCCACAGAAGGCAGGTGAGGGGAGCAAGACAAGCCCAGCCATTCAATGGAGGATCCTCTCTCTGGCATGAAGAGCCACTCCTGGAAGGAATCATTGTAGGGGGAAAAAATTAATTTGTTGCTGGGTGCAAAAGCAATCCAAGGGAGAGAGAGAAGGTGAGAGAGGTCTTCTATCTATTGGTCCACTTCTCCAAACACCCACAACAGAAGGCTGGCCCAGACCAAAGACCAGAGTCAGGAGCTTCCTCCCGGTCTCTCACATGAGTGGCAGGGACCGAGACACTCGGGCCATCTTCATTTGCCTTCCCAGGCATGTTACCAGGGAGCTGGAGCCAAAAGTCCAGTTCAGAATTTTACTGAGAGGCTGTCCACTTTTTTTAAGAAGTTTGTTTAAGAGAAAATGACAGATTTAATGAGAGAAGAGAGATTTTCCATCCACTGACTTACTCCCCAAATGGTCATAATGATCAGAGCTGCTCCAGTCCAAAGCCAGCAGCCTGCGCTGGATCTCCTACGTAGGTACAGGTACCCAAGCACTTGAGCTATCTTCTGCCGCTGTTCCAAGCTACCAGCAGAGAGCTGGGTTGGAAGTGGAACAGCCAAGACTCGAATCAGCACCTGTATGGGATATCAGTCCAAAAGGCAGAGGTCTAATCTACTATGCCACAACGCTGGCCCGAGATATGGTCCTCTGAACTGCCTGACCAAATGCCTGCCCCATGACCCTGACCATGACTGGATGGTTGGTACTGTCCCAGGTCTCTATACCGTCCAGGTACAAGTAGCCCTCCTCTAGTTGTGACAACCACAAATGTCACCAGATATGCCCATCTGTTCCCTGGAGGGCAAAAATCCTCCCTGCTGAGAACCACAGCATTCTTTCTGGTCCCCTATCCTCTGCCAGAGTTGGGATGCTGATGGAGTTGTCAGCACCATGTGATAATGCTGCCTTAGATGCCAGCAATACTGGATTACTCCCACTGCACCTCCCTTGGGGAAACTGTCCCCCACCCCATTCAGCCTCCAACCTGGGCTGCAAGTGTTGGGGTGGTTAGCAGAGCTGAGATGTGCATTGGACAACTGGTAAGCCAGAGGGCTTATGCCAGGATGGGGGCCAAGGATGAGCAGTGTTTCCAAAACACCCATGTAATTTCTCATGACTGCTAGCATCCACTCTCCTGGTGACTGTCAGCAGTAAGAATGCACTTGGGTTAAAGTGCTGAGAAGGCAGGGAAATGATCAGCCCACACCCCAGGTTGTCTGAGATTTCTAGCAATGGGCTGACCAAAAAAAAAAATCCCACCAACTTTAGGCATAACAGACAAGAATCTTGTAGAGAATTTATTGACAGATGATCTGACACTTGGCACTCCGAATGTCTTCCAAAGTAGTCATGACTGGATAATCCACTGACAGGGGCTGAACTGCTCTCTGATTCTTGCAAAGAAACAATACCGATTTCCGTAGCTGAGTCTTCGGTGGATGTGTCACCATCACTGTTGATGCTTGCTCTGGCCTGCAGCCTTTGTATCCCAGAAGAAAATCGACCAGCACATCTTGTTCTCCTTTAAGGTCAAGGGCAGTGTGATCCCGTGAGTCAACACACTCTTGAAATAGGACAGAGCTCTTCTGAGCATTCTGGGGAGGGAAGCAGGACAGGGTGGGAGAGGGCGGAATTTGGTTCCTCTGTATGAACCATACGTGCCACACCCAAGGAAGAGAGGTGTGGTCTGAAGCAGAGCAAGCAAAAGAAAACTCTTTAGTCCATTAGAGACCCAGAAGAAGCTCTTGGCTCCTGGCTTCGATCAGCTCAGCTCTGGCAGTTGCAGCCATTTGAGGAGTGAACCAGCAAATGGAAGATCTTTCTATCTCTCCTTCTCTCTGTAAATCTACCTTTCCAATGAAAATAATAAAACGCCCATTTATTTGAAAGGTAGGGCTACAGAGATAGATTGACAAATTTAAAGAGATCTTCCAGCTTCTGGCTCACTTCCCAAATGAAAACAATGGAAGGCAAAGCCAGGCTCCTGGAATGTCCTCTGGGTCTCCCATATGGGTGTCAGGAGCCCAAGCACTCAAGCCATTCTGCACGGCTTTCCCAGGTGCATAGCAGGAACTGCACTGGAAATGCAGCAGCCAGGACTCGAACCGGTGCCCCCAGGCTGGGACACTTGCTTTGCAGGTGGTGACTTAACCCAAAGCACCACAACATCAGATCCAAAACACTCTTGACCATTAACCAAGAACCCTCCAAATCCCAATCCAGCATCCAAGTATTCAACAATCACTGTAAATTCTCCCTGTGCCTTAGGGGACAGAAAGAACATGAACCACACAGCAAACACTGACTCCAGACTCCGGCAATAGAAGGTCTCACCAAGGGCCTGGCACAACAGCTCAATGGTTAAACCCTCATCTTTCAAGCACTGGGATCCCACATGAGCACCAGTTCATGTTCTGAATGTTCCACTTCCCAACCAGCTCCCTACTAGTGGCCTAGGAAAGCAGTGGAGGATGACCCAAGTGCTTGGGACCCTGCATGTGAAGACCCAAAAGAAGCTCTGGGCTCTTGGCTCCTGGCTTCTGGCTATGGTCTGGCCTAGCCATAACCATTGTGTTCATTTGGGGAATGAACCAGCAGATGGAAGATCTTTCTCTCTCTCCCTGTGCCGTGTGTGTGTGTGTATGTGTTTGTGTGTCCCTCTGTCTCTGTCACTGTGCTTTCCAAATAAATAGAAAGAAATCTTGAAATAAAAAGAAAAGAAAAATCAACAGAATTGCACAAGGGAATTATGTAAGTGCCAAGGGAGAAGGAAGAGAAGGAGTACTTGGGATTGAATCGGGTGCTGAGTTGGTGTCTTTATTCTCAGGCCCTGCCTGCCACAGGGTCCCCTGCTATGGTCACAGCATATCTGGGACAGCATATCTGCAACAAATAGTGCTCTCCACCTCTGCATGCCTCCCAGGCCTAGCTCCCTCTAAGAAGTTGCCTGGATCCCCTCCCACCATTAGGGGGCTACTCAGGTCGCAGGGTCTCCCATAAACCCATGGTGAGCAAGTGCAGCGGGCACAGAGTTTGGCAGCAGCAGAGGCTGCTATTTGAGTGTCACTTGAGGTCTGTGGATACTGGAACTAACTGAGAAGCCCTCTGACTTCTGTGACACACACCTGTTGGAAAACGTGGACCATGCTCTCTTGGCTGGCTGACTGGCTGGCTGGCTGGCTGGCTGGCTGGCTGGTGGGCTGCCTCTAAATGCCCGGCTCTCCCCGGATCCATGCCCATGACTTTTAATCCATCCTAACCACCTGCATCCTGATGCTGGCTGCCGCGAACGCTCAGCTCAGCCTGCTGGAAACCCACTCCCACATTCCCAGTTACAGTCAGGCCAGCTTCCTCAGGGCCTCGTGTGCAGCTCCCACAAGGTTCCCCTGCAGATCTCCCCACCTCCACAAATGGCACCACTTCTGTAAATGGTGCCAGTCACACGCTGGGCCATGGCCGCCATAGCAGAATCCCTGATCCCTGTTCCCACCCAACCCATTCATAGCCTTGTTTCTTCTCAGTCTGCATCACCTGCATTTCTGCACATGCCTTCCCCATCACAAATTGTTCCATTCATTTCTTCATGCAACTACTATTCTGTTTTAAATAGATGCATTTGTTTGTTTGAAAGGCAGAAGTAACACAAAGAGACAGGCCTTGCATCTGCTAGTTTACTCCCCAAAAGGCCGTGTCAGCCAAGTCCTGGCCAGACTGAAGCCAAGAACCCCATCCGGGTCTCCCACGTTAGAACAGGGGCCCAAGGACTTGGCTCTTCCTCTGTTGCTTTTCCAGGTGCATTAGCAAGGAGCTGGATAGGAAGCAGAGGAGCTGGGATTCAAACCAGCTCTCCAATATTGCCCGAGCGGCAGCTTAACAGGATGTGCCACAACAGTAGCTCGAATGTCTGACTCTGGCACTACAGTTCGCCTCAGTGTAAGCTTACAGACTGGAGTAGGGACCAGCATCTCTGTCCCCGAGGCCTTGTTGGTTGCCCCAAGCCAGAGAAAACAGGAGGTGAGGGACACCTGCCCTCCAAGAACCACAAGGCCACACAGCCCCCAGTGTGGCCCTCACCCAGGCCACATTGCTCAAGGTACAAATGAGCTGGATCTTTAGCTATTTCAATGTCATCCACTAGAGGCGTCATTCTGTGGGTTGGATGGCCGAGCCCACATAGGAGAGGACAGAGGCAGGGGGACCGGACCGGGAAGTGGCTGGAGAGGCCAGTCCAATGCGAAAACATGCTAAAAACACTCACAGAATGAAGGACAATGCAATTTATTAGCGACAGAACAGGTAGGAGGAGAGGACAGTGTGTTATATACACCACAACCGGGGTGCATCCCACCCCAGTGCAGGAGAAGGTGACCCCACTCGGATAGCTGTGGGCACAGGCTGCGGCCAGAGAGACAAGGCCCAGGTGGGTCAGGCCAGGTATCTGGACGTGCCTTGCAGCCCACTCCCCCACGTGCATCTCGTGGGGGGTGGGAGGGATGGTGCTGGCGGGCTCACTGATGCAGGCAGATGAGGAGGAACTGTTGGGGAAGGGACGCTGGGGTGGCTGCACGGCTGGATTGCCTTCATCTGGAGTAGCGCTGAGAGGACTGGGAGAACTTGACGCTGCTGCCCCGGGTGCTGCCGGAGCTGAAGCCTCCGCCGCTGACAGCGCTGCGACCCCCAGAGCTGGAGCCGAAACCGCCGCCGCTGCCCACCCTGAATCCGCCGCTGCTGCTGCTGCCGCCGCCGAATCCACTGCCAAATCCGCTGCCACCTCCACGGCCTAAGCCACCTGCACCACCTCCCATGCCGAAGCCGCCTCCATAGCCACCTGCTGCGGCTGAGGTGGTGGTGCTGCTGTTGACCACCGCTGGAAAGGGAGAGAAAGGAGGATGGCCGTGAGCGCCCAGCACCCACATCGCCATGTGAGAATTAGCCATTGATCCACCCTGGGGGGCCAGAGTGTGACAGGGAGGAGTCACGGCCAGCTGCCCTCATGTCATACACTCAGCCCACCACCGCCGTTGCCTCGGATGACCTCCGAGGAGTTTCTCTGTCCCATTCTCAAGACTCCCTCTAGATACACCTCTTCCCATCAGCCAGCCACACTCATCTTGGAAGTGTCAATCACAGGTGCTAATCACAGCCCCTCCACTCCCAGAAAGTCCTCCCTCCACCTCCCTGGCAAACAGGGTTCACAATCAGCATGAACATTTGAGAAGCAGCTTCGGGCTTCCCCGGTCGCTGGGATAACTTACAGATGCTGACAGCACTCTGGCACTCTCCGGACATTCTGTTTGAAAAAGCAAGAAGACAACCCCATCACCAAGAGGCCACAAGCCAAGGTGACCAGAATCCAGAACAGAACTTGGAAGCTTTCTCCCACCCTCCTACAGGCACAGAAAGTTGCATCCATGCTTTGTTAACTGTTGGGCTCGTAAAAGCAAGTGCTTCTCTACAAGGCCCAGGGAAGGCGGGGCCTGTCTGTACATGCCTCCATGCCCAGGCACCTGGCTGGCACAGTGTGCCTTGGGGCAGGGAGCTAAGATGTCTGCACATTCACCTGCACTCCTCGCCCTCCAGCAGCTTGCGGTAGGTGGCGATCTCTACGTCCAGGGCCAGCTTCACGTTCATCAGCTCCTGGTAGTCGCGCAGCAGCCGGGCCAGGTCATCCTTGGCCTTCTGCAGGGCAGCCTCCAGACCGTCCAGCTTGGCCCGAGCATCCTTGAGGGCCAGCTCCCCACGCTGCTCAGCATCGGCAATAGCTGACTGCAGGCTGGCATTCTGAGGGCAGGGGATGGTAGACAGGGTGAGCCCAGGAAGAAGGCCACAAAACCTCTGCCTTGTCCTGTGTGAAAGGCAGTGAACATCGTTCCTCTGGCACCTCCATCTGCAGAGATGGTTCCCTGCAGCTTAGCCAACACATCTAGACCAGCCTGGCCTCCATGAAGGCTGCCCAGGCTGCCCTCTGGAGCTTATTCCAAGCCAGGAGTCCTGAGTTCCTGAGTCCCACACCCAGGGTACCCACACCCACCACCACACCTGCTTCTTGACATTCTCAATCTCAGCCCGCAGCCTCTGGATCATCCTGTTGAGCTCTGCAATCTCACTCTTGGTGCTCTTCAGGTCATCACCATGCCTGCCAGCTGTGGTCTGCAGCTCCCCAAGCTGGAAGACCAAGGGGAGGACAAGGGCGTGTTCATGTAGCTTGGCCTAGCTTGTTTCAAGACCCCCCACCACCAAATATATATATATATATATCTTGAGATACTTAGTAAGTACTGGTGGACTGTGTTGTAGCAGGGGTATGTCAAAGGGAGCTGGGGAGGTAGGATGGAAAGTTCTAGCTCCCTCTAGTTCCTAAGCAAGCTGAAGTGGACCCCACATGGCCCAGCAGTGCAGGGCACAGCCACTGACCCCAAAAGGTGAGAAGTTCTGCAAGGGAGTGTCCATCACAGGGATGCCTCCTCCACTCAGCAGGGCCACAGCTTCCTGGAGACCCCCAAGGGATCCTCCGAGAGGTGCCTGGCCCCTACCTTGGTCTGGTACAGCGCCTCAGCCTCTGCCTTGCTCCTCTGGGCAATGTCCTCATACTGGGCGCGGACCTCGGCGATGATGCTGTCCAGGTCCAGCGAGCGGTTGTTGTCCATGGACAGCACCACAGATGTGTCGGAGACATGGCTCTGCATCTGAGACAGCTCCTGCCAATACGAAGGGAGCCTGTTCACTTTCAGAGTCTGTGTTACAGGCACACATGGAGACCCCAACAGACAGTTCAGTGCATGGGCTAAGAATGTGCATCGGCCCCACCCTGCTCGGAGAAGCTAAGGTCCGAAGCCCATCCTGCAGACCCCCATGGTCTTTGGGCCTCACCTCTGACAGCCTCAACCCTGACACCACCTCACCCTCCCACTCCACATTCTTACAGCATCGTACAGGGTCCTCAGGAAATTGATCTCATCCATCAAGGCATCCACCTTAGCCTGGAGCTCCACCTTGTTCATGTAGGAGGCATCCACATCCTAGGGAAGACAAGAAGCTAAGGGATTTGTGCCCCACCCCCTGCTTGCCCAAAGGAGTCAGGCAATCACCAGCAAATGTCATAAGTTAGGACACGGACAGATGTTCCTGGCCACCATCAGCCTCCATATGAGGGGACGTTCCCATCTGGTGGCAGCATCCGTTCTGTTCCATCCCATCCTAACACAAAAATGTACCTGACTTCCTTTTATTCCTACTCCAGGGCCTGAATTTGGCAGCTCAGTGGCTATGAAGTGAAAAGCCTCCTCCACTTCTTTCCCCCTCAAACACCTGCAATTCTACAGCTCCCACATCCTTCAAGCAACCCTCACCTTTTTCAGGGTCACAAATTCGTTCTCAGCAGCCGTGCGCTTGTTGATTTCATCCTCATATCTGCAGAAAACAGAAGGGGCTCGGCAGTCATCCTCCACCCTACCGTTCTAGAAAAACCTGACAGCTCCCCTCCCAGAGTCCCTCAGTCCCTCTCCTGCCACTGTGGGGACCAGATCCTCCCTACCAACTCCATGTTGGTTAGAGACACCAACCAGACCAAACAACCCAAATAACTCCTGCTGTGGAGGACAGCCCTTGGTCTCATGAAATAATAGGGGAACATCTGGTCACCCTCAATTCTGTGCGTCCCAGGATCTCTTCAGAGCCAGCTCATAGACAAAATGCTTGCTCGACTCCACACTCATCCCTTGCCACACAGTCTCATTTGAAAAAGCTTCTGCTTGAAGCAGGAAAGTGAAGGGAGCCCCGTGATCCAAGCTACACTACCTCCCCACACCGTGAAATTAAGGAGAGACTGAGCACCGGCTCAGTCAGGCAGGGGTCAGGAGGACTCAGAGCAGGGTGGCCCACGATGGTGTCTTCCCATCCCTGCTCCTCCTCCCCCCTGGTCACTCACTTCTTCTTGAAGTCCTCCACCAGATCCTGCATGCTCCTTAGCTCCGAGTCCAGGCGGCCTCTCTCACTGATGATGCCATCCAAGTAACTGCGCAGGTAGTTGATGTGGTTCTCAAAGAGGGGCTCGAGGTTGTTGGTGCCTGTGATGGAGTTGGTGCCCTGCTGCTGCAGCAGTGCCCACTTGGTCTCCAGGACCTTGTTCTGCTGCTCCAGGAAGCGCACCTGCAGCACATGGAGCCAAGCATCTCAGGCAGCCAGCAGTGAGAGCTGCAGAGCCAGGAGGCAGGTTAGGGGAACACCTTAACTCAGCTAGGAGCTGGTGTCTCTGCTGGTCTCCCAGAGCACAAAGGCTCCTACTGCGGCTGGAAAGAATGCTGAGAAAGGTGCTGGGTCAGAATGGTGCATTTGGAAAAAATTAGATGGAAGCTGCCCCTCCCCCTGGCCAAACCTGTAGCAGGAGAAATTTAACAATGACTCTTTGGTCGGGGAGACTTTGTGTCTCCATCTCAACTTCAGTACAATGCATAAAAACCTTCAGCAGGGTCGGCAGAGCTGGGAAGCACTGGGAACTGATGCTGGCTGCCCTGTCCTTGGGTCTGAAGAGGACACAGTGCCATGGAGGCTGGCCTGGACTGGAGAAGGTCTTAGAACCAAGGCTCCACTCCCAGCATCCTTCACCCCTTCCCCAGGCATTGGCTCCTCTCCCTGGCACAGGGACAGAGCCGGAAAGCGTCCATGTGAAGAGCCCCCAGCTCCAAATTGGACCCAGTCCTACCAGTGGCTTTGGGCTGCCAGCTCTGCCAGCCCAGGCCTAGAGAAGGCAAAGGTGGGACACTTGAGTAGAGGCTCAAACAGGCAGGATGTGGCCATGTTGGGGTCCAAACACGGTCCATTGTCTTTCTACATCTTCCCCTCAACTGACCATGGCCAGTTCATCATTTATCCCCTTTGACCAAGCCTACCCAGGACCCATTGAAACACCATGTCAAGTACAAAATCCCCGCCTAAGTTCCATCACCTTGTCAATGAAAGAAGCAAACTTGTTGTTGAGGGTCTTGATCTGCTCCCGTTCCTGGGCCCTCACTTGCCCAATCTGCGGGTCAATCTCCACATTGAGGGGCTGCAGCAGGCTTTGATTGACAGTCACTTCCTGGATGCCTCCAGGGAAACCACCAGGGCCACCAAAGCCACCAGGACCACCAAAACCGCCTGCTCCCCCAAAGCCACCTGCTCCCCCAAAGCCACCTGCTCCCCCAAAACCAACTGCTCCCCCAAAACCACCTCCCATTCCACTGCCACCACCAAAGCCACCTCCATAGCCACCCCCAAAGCCACTGCCACACATGCTCCGCCCTCCACCAAAGCCACCAGCCTGGGAGCTACCAGCTGCCACACTCATGGAGATGCTTTTGTGGCCACCCAGGTTGTAGAGGCTGCGACTGCCAAAGCCACCTGCTCCCCCCCGGATCCCAGAGGCCCCTGAGCCAGCTGCTGCCGAACGAGCCACGCAGCTCATCCTGGTGCTGCTGCTGCTGCTTCGGCCGGGGACCACTGCGGAACGGCCAGAGAAGCTGCGGCTCCCACCGCCGGATGTCTTATGCACTTGTCTGCTCATAGTGAGGAGCTTGGCAAAGAGGCGAGCAGGGACACTGGACGTCTGGTGAGGAGGAAGGCGACTGAGTGCCTGGGCAGAGAGCAGTTCTTTATATGTATCTGGGGAGGCTGCGAGCACAAATGAGGGAGACATAATCCCAGCTCCTCATGGGCTGGGCTTGCCTCCAGGGCAGTAAGTTTGTTCCAGGCGACCAAACACACCTGGAAAATAAGCTGAAATGGTAAAAGTGCTAAGGTGGCAGGCTTATCCGGCTAGGGTGGGGGGTGGGTGGTGCCTGGCGTGGCCCCATTGCTGGGACACAGCCACCTCCCAGCTTTGTCTGGGAGGCCCCAGGAGGCATACAGACCCATGTCAGGGGATTACGCAGGTCTGTCTGCCCATCGGCTGCCCATGGACCCTGCTGGAAGGAGACTCTAGCAGGGGTAGTGGAGGGGGCTCTGTACGTGAATGACATCTCTGCTTCCACTGAACTGTGAGCAGAGATCTCCCAATCAAGGAGTGATGCCCGTTTTCCCACAGTCAGCACCAGTATGTCCATCATGTACCAGCCAGGCTCCATGCTGGGCTCTATGACAAAGCAATGACCTGTCTTCCTCTCCACCAGAAAACCCTAGCTCCCAAGCGTCAGTTCTGATGGTGGTGGCTCTTTGGCTTCTGCCTGTCCTGAGCCAAGGTAGACTCGCCAGTGAGGTGCAATGCTGAGATACCAGCAGAGTCTGTAACTGAACATCAGCTCGGAAAATCCGCAGCACCATCACACAGCTGAAGGTTTTTCTGGGGCTTCCTTCCTGCCATTTCTCTGAGCCCAGCCCAAGTCCCAAGGGGCAGGAAGGTCAAGTGTCAGCCCAGCCATGAAAGCGACCAGCATTCAGGATGGTGGCCCCGTGCGGGGTGTTGAAGCCTCAGGCAAAAACAAGGCACCCTCCTTTCAAGATCCCCTCACTGTGAGACCCATGCTCTGGCTAAAGGGTCTGAGCATGGCACCCCGCACCTCTCATCCCCAGGAGGCCGGATACACAGAGCGCATGACATCACTGGACACGTCTAACTAGAGCGGGGTTAGGTTGGGTGAGGAAGGCGTCCTGAACAGCGCTGGAGCAGCCACATGCACTCTCTCTCTCCAAGCGAGATCTCACAAGGCTCTGCCTGGGGTGAGGCTCAGCAGCCCTGGGAGAACCACCCCAGCCTCAAAGGAAAGGAGATGAGACAGTACATGCTAGGGAGGCCCAGGTCCAAAGAGCCAGTGCAAATGTTCTCCCCTATCTGGCTGTCCCATTTCTGTCCCTCTCCCCTCCCCCCAAGGGCTGTAGCTTTTGCAGGTGCTCACTGTCTGGTTAGAACTGGTAACCAGGATCCCTAAGTTCCTAGCCCAGTGCTTTGTCAATAGCAGAGGCTCATGAAGTTTGGCTGAATTCGTTAATGAGGCAGTCATTCAACAGAGAATGAATCAATGGATTAATTATGCTCTTCTTCTGGATGATGACCAGATAAAACTGGTTAAATGATGATTCAGCTCCCATGTTCATTGAGTGCATCTCAACTTGAAGAGGAGGCAAACTACAGATTTGGTGAGCCAATTTAGGGAAATACACATGCTAAGTTTCCTCTCCAGCAAAAAATCACAAGAATCCCGCGTCAGTCGGGAGGTGCCGGTGTTGTGACCTGTGCAGATAAACTGCCACTTGGGACACCAGCACCCTAAGATGCAAGGGCCTGCCTCCACTCCCCACCCAGCTTCCTGCTAATGCAGCTGGGAGATAGCAGAGGATGGCCCAAGGAGTTGGATCCATGCCACTCACCTGGGAGACCCAGATGAAGTTTCAGTCTGGCTGAGCCCTGACTGCTGCAGCCACTGGGAAGAGTGAACCAGTAAATGGAAGATTTATCTCTCTCTCCCTCCCTCACCCCCAACCCTGGTCCTGTTACCTTTCAAACAAACAAATACATAAAATGTTTTTTAAATTCAATTAGGACGGGCCCGGCGCAGTGGCACAGTGGTTAAGGTCCTTGCCTTGCACGCCCGGGATCCCATATGGGTGCCGGTTCTAATCCCGGCAGCCCCACTTCCCATCCAACTCCCTGTTTGTGGCCCAGGAAAGCAGTCAAGGACGGCCCAACCCTGCGCCCACGTGGGAGACCCAGAAGAGGCTCCTGGCTTCGGATCAGCATAGCATCGACCATTGCGCTCACTTGGGGAGTGAATCATCGGACGGAAGATCTTCCTCTCTGTCTCTCCTCTCTGTATATCTGCCTTTCCAATAAAAATAAAATAAATCTTTAAAAAGAAAAATTCAATCAGGGCAGTGACAGTGTGACATAGCAAGCTAAACCTCTGCCATCCCATAGGAATGCTGGTTTAAACCCTGGCTGCTCCACTTCTCATGCAGCTCCCTGGGAAAGAAGAAGATGACTTAAGTGCTTGGGACCCCTGTACCCACATGGGAAACCCAGAAAATAAATAAATCCAGAAGGAGAAGATGCTTGGCCTACCTAACATGCTCGCTAACATCTACACCCTTTCTGAGTCCCTAGTTCAAACCTTAGCCCTGCTCCTCATGACCCCTTTTGCTAACGCACACCTTGGGAGACAGCAGCTGATGGCCTGCAGACATGGCACTGAGAAGACTCAAACTCACAGTGAATCAGAACACTCTCATGTCTCCCAGAGAGACCCCCAACCAGTGCCGAGTCCACGGGTTCTGAGCCAGGATTGTCACTGCTTTGCTTTCTTTGAAAGATAGAAAAAAACAAGAGATTTTCTCTCCAGATGCCCACAACAGCCAGGCCTCAGCCAGGCACAAACAGGAAGTGAGCACACCCAGAGGTGAGCCACTGCCTGTTGCCTCCCAGGAAATGGAACCAGGAGTGCAACTGGGACTCGAACCCAGGCATTCAGAGATGCAATATGGGCATCCAAGCAGCATCTTTTTTTTTTTTTTAAGATTTTTTTTTAATTGGAAAGTCAGATATACAGAGAGGAGGAGAGACTGAGAGGAAGATCTTCCATCCGCTGGTTCACTCCCCAAGTGGCTGCAATGGCTGGAGCTGAGCCAATCCGAAGCCAGGAGCAAGAAGCTTCATCCTGGTCTTCCACGCGGGTGCAGGATCCCAAATCTTTGGGCCATCCTCGACTGCTTTCCCAGGCCACAAGCAGGGAGTTGGATGAAAGCAGGGCCACCAGGATTAGAACTGGCGACCGTACAGGATCCTGACACGTGCAAGGCAAGGACTTTAACCACTACACTATCGTGCCAGGCCCTCAAGCAGCATCTTAACCATTATACCAGATGCCTGCCCTGCTGTTTCTTAGGAGGAAATTAACCTGAAGAACTCTGTTGGAGAAATATGATCAATGCCAACGTGGTGGCTGGCCAGTCCCAGCAGGTGAGGAAGAAGTGAGAGGGGTATTAAAAGTACTGTGCCTGAGGACCAGGATAGCAGATAAGACCATGGCCATGGCCTGGGGATGCAGAGAGAGCTAAGACAAAGCTTGTTGGGGCTGGGGCGGGGGGTGGTACGCATTCGCAGGGCTGGGGTGTGTAGAAGGGGAGGAGGCCAGCCAGAGTCGAAACTGCAAGGGCTAGGGCCCAGCCCTCTAAACAGGAGCCACCTGAGAAAAGCAGAGTTGGCTTATTTGTCCTCACCCAACGCCTGGATTATCTGAGGGTATTAACCGGGTGTTCTGCTTTCCTTCTGCAGAAAAGCCTGAGTCAGAGCTTGCATGGCTTCGAATCAGAGATGCACACACAGCCGAGGCCAGCAGGCCAGCACAGCCACCCTCCTTCTCCTCCTCCTTGCCACCTACAGGCAACCCACACACCTAAGCTGTCCTCCTCTCCAAGCTCCAAGGGGATAGCAATTCATCTCATCTCCTGGCATGCCCGGGCCAGCCAGGCACCACCCTGGCCCCGGAAAGTGTTCACAGATCTGGCCTGAGTGTCCTCCCATCCCCTCAAACCCGATTCTGCCCATCAAGTGACTGATTGGTTGACTTCTCTCTCCTGGGATCAGGGAAGTTGGAGTGCTAGGGGCCTCCCAGGCCTGTGTACCACCCCCACTCTGAGTCTGAAGTCTTTCCTCTTAAAGATTCATTATTTTAAAGTCAAAGACAGAAAGGGAGAGACAGAGAGAAAGAGATCTTCCATCCACTGGTCATTCCCCAAATAGCCACAATGGCCAGGATAAGGTCAGGCCAGAGTCAGGAGCCAGGAGCTTCGTCTAGGTCTCCACATGGCTGCAGGGACCCAAGCACTTGGGCCATCCTTTGCTGCTTTCCCAGGTGCATTTGCAAGCATCTGAATCAGAAGAAGAGCAGGTGGGACTCAATCCTGTGACCATATGGGATGCTGGCACCACTGCCACTCCCTGAAGTTTTTTAACACATACAAAACTGCATTGACCTTCACACATGTCAGAACTCATGTCTTTGGGGATCCTCCCATATCCTTTCAGATCATAGCAATTTATTGCGAATTCAGCAAAACTTTTAAATAACACTGCATTTTGGGCCCGGCGCGATTGCGTAATGGTTAAGGTCCTTGTCTTGCACATGCCAGGATCCCATATGGTCGCCAGTTCTGATCCTGGCAGCTCCACTTCCTGGATGGCTTCCTTCTTGTGGCCTGGGAAAGCAGATGAGGACGGCCCAAAGCCTTGGGACCCTGCACCCACGTGGGAGACCCAGAAAGAAGTTCCTGGCTCCTGGCTTTGGATCGGCGCAGCACCAGCCATTGTGGCAACTTGGGGAGTGAATGATCAGATGGAAGATCTTCCTCTCTGTCTCTCCTCTCTGTACATCTGCCTTTACAATAAAATAAATGAATCTTAAAAAAAAAAAACCACTGCATTTTAAAATCACCCACATTTGGAAATGATTATACCTGGGTGTGGACAGATACTATATATTTTAGAAAAAAAAAAAAACCTATGAATTGCAAATGTTTGGCCCCGAAGTAAGTTCTTATTTTAATTCCATTTTTCTGTGGACTTTTTGTTGAAATCCCACCCCACCCCCACCTTGTGCTGTTGGATTGGGAGTGAAGCAGCCAGAACTCGAACTGGCATCCATATGGAATGCCATCCACTGACACGGCGTGCCCCAGCAGGAACACAGTGGCTAGCTTAACCCAGCCTTTCAGGCCTCCATTCCCCAACTGCTGTCAGCTGGCCTCTGCCAAGCCTGCAAGTTCCCCAGGGCCTCTGACGCAACAGAGACGCCCAGCGGGCTGTGTCCTTCAAGTGTTGTCACTGCCTGCCTCCCTCACCTCGCTGCCTAGAGGATATGAACCAAATCTGTTCCTGCCCAGCCTCCTGCAGGATCACTTGGGAACTTCCATACCTTCTCCATGGCAACCTCTCAGTATGAAACAATGCTACTAGGACAGGTGCTTGGCACAGCACCTTGTTATCTGTCAGGATGCCTGCATCCCATACATATGAGAAAGGTCAGAGTTCTAGTCCCAGCTCCACTCTCAATTCCACACTTCATACGTCCATTTCCCAGGCAGTTCCCATTGTTGGGTCCACACTGACATGAAACTAAACCCTCCTCATACTACGGTGCAGAATGATTTGATCTGCACTCCAGGTCACCCAGGAAACCTCAGGCAGCGATGAGCCCGGGGCCCAGGGCTCCCACCACCCCTAAGACCTTTCTCAGCCACAGCTCTGCATCTTCACCCTTCTCTTCAGGGGACAAAGAGACAACCTATCAATCCCAACCTCCAACACGGAGGAGGAGGGCGGAACCGGAACAGATGCACAAAAGACTTGATCCCCTCTGTCCGTGCCTCTCCTTTGTCCCTGGGCTAGTCACAGAGAGGCACAGTGCACTGGTGCCCCTGGGTGACTATCACTCTATACACTGAACATCACCCCATACCTGGTATTAATCATCCATGCCTTCTTCTGAGGTCACCCACGGCTACACCCCAAAACCTGTGTCAACCATGAGATAAGCCAAACTCCCATCATGATGTGGAGCAGGGGCACCAGAGAGACCAGCATATCGGCAAGAGTCTTCCGGGACTAAGTGGACTGGATCAGGGTGGGATGGAGGGCTGTGCAAAAGTGGCCAGTGTTTGGGAGCTGGAGAGCCCCTGAGCGTACCTAACAGTGTGACTGCATTCAGGTCCTGTCAGCACCCACACCCCTAGATCTTGCTGGAAACAAACCAACAAATACAGTTGTCTTCTCTATGCTAAACAAGCATCTCCTTCAACAAAACACACAATTGCAGTCATTCGGAGATGCACATACATGTATGTCACCTGTGGTCCATCTGTCACTGCAGCAACACCTAACCGTGCTCCAGGGGCATGAGCAAGGGACCCTCACCCCCAGCCTTGAGGTGTGGCATCTGGTGGGTGTCCCAAGGGGAAGCCGCACTTATGCTTCCAACTCGAAGAAACTCACTGAGGAGGCGAGTCAGCATTTTTCCAGGGGAGGGGTGCAGCAATGGGAAGCCATCAAAACCGCCTGCCTAACTTGGCTGCACCTGCTAAGACTTCCTGTTCTGACACCCGGGGGGCATTGGGGCAGCAAGCCCAATGAGACAATGAGGAGATCAGGGCTGGGCTTGTCCAGGACAAGGACAAAGCCACCAGACCCAGGGCAGGGCTGTTCCTGCCCAGGGAGCCTGAGCCTTAGGGATTAACCCTTTGCTACTCTGTCCCTGCTCCCTCTCCTCCCCCTCCTCCCACCTCTCCAACGTAGGGAAGCCCCGGGTTTGGCCTCAAGGTCACTGTGGGCAGGCACTGGCCTCCAGCAAGCCAGGCATCTTCTGTGTCTACACCCGGGGAGGCCCTTGCAAATGCTGTCCTAGACAGATTAAAATCTCCCTGAACTCCCTGGCAGTCAAAGAGTCAGGGGCAAGGTGGGGGGAAGAAAGCAGGGGAGTGGGTCAAGAGCCACGATGGCTCCTGCATCTACCTTGGAGAGTTTCCAGGTCAGACTACAGCCAGCCAGCCTGCTGTGGAGTCTGTTTCCAGGAAAGAGATGGCGCCGCTCTGAGAGTCTTGGAATCGGTTCAGTGTACATAAGAATAACACATCTCTGTGCAGCCAGCACGCCCAGATGCACACAGGGGACACGACAGCCAGCTCATGGAGGCCAGCAGAGGACATCAAGTACCGCATCAGAGAACAGAGGGCAGAACAGATTGAACAGCTCTCCTGGCTAAGTTTTGAAAAGTATCTGGGTGAGTGGAAACTCTAAGGTGGACTATGGTGACCTTGGAAAGATTTCCTCGACCTTGGAGCAACAGTACCTCAGAACTACCAAAACCACTGAAGCAGTACCCTCAGAACATTGGGAATCCTAGGATGACTTCAAGTGGCCATCCCTCATTCCCAGGGACTGATGTGGTTTGGCTGCTGGGAGCGGCCTCCTCCCTTTTCTCCCCCAACCCTCCCAGATACAGGAGGGGAAAAAGTTGGGGAAAAAAGAGAAAGAAAAGAAAATTCACTCTCTAATCACGATAAAAAGAAAGCAAGCATCCTCAACAGTTACAGTAGATCCTGACTCTCACTGCCCTCGCCCCTTCCACATGGTGCCAACCATCACCCCCAGCGCCGGCCCCAGCCAAGCAGCACCTCCATCAATGCCCCCAGAAAGCCTGGCTCACCTCCACTATTCCTCCAACCCCAGATTAGCAACAGTCACAACAGGCACCTCAGGAGGTGAGGAAGGGAGTCGAATGCAAAGCCACTGGGAAAAAGCCAGTGGCCATGGCTCCTCCCAGCAGCCAGACCAAGCTAAAGCCCGGGTTTCATGTCAGTTAGAAGGCTCTGGGCAGCCCTAGAGTCCTTCTTCCAAAGCCACTCCTCGTATGATTGTGGAGTGTCTGGTGAATCCACACCTGCCTTGGAAGCAGATTCCACGTTCCTACTCTGCACTTACCCCACCACCCAGGAACCCAAGCAATGAGACCTGAGAAATCAGGAGATGACCTTGACTTGCATAGGTCAACCATCTGATCTTCTGGGATAGGAAAGATGGCTCCAGAGGAAACAAATACAGTGGCTCAAAATGAATGACAAAAGCTTTTTATTGCAGATTTGCCTGGATGTAGGGAGAGAGGAGAAGAGCTGAAGGAGTGGGGACACCAAGTGGTTCTGGTCCCAACCTTGCCCGGGCCCAGGGCCAGCTGCACCAGATGATGGAGAAGGAATTCGGCTCTGATGTAGATGAGAGACAGGCGTTTGTAGTGGGAAAGGCCATACAGGACCCTGACAGTTCTGAAGATGTTCATCTTCCACGGGAGGTCAAAGGTCAGCTGACACCCTGCACATTGCAGGTGGGCAGGGCTCCAAGAGGGACAGAGTCCATGGTCCAGCAGTAAAGGTCAAGATCGTGGTGGAGAAGACAGAGCCAGGATGGGCAGGGAGGATTGGAGAGCCTCCTGCCGACCCCAAGGGGCAGGGGGAGGCCAGATGAAGGAAGCACGATACCCCAGGGGCCGGCTCTGGGGCTGCAGGGCCCTCATCAACCCTATCGCTGGGATCTCTTGGTCAGGGTGGTCGTGGAGATGATCTTGCTGCTGGAACCACCGCCAATGCCGCCACTGATGCCGCCTCCAACGCCAAACCCAAAGCCAGAACCAAAGCCACTGCCCAGGCCGAATCCTCCGCTGATGGCTCCAGAGCTGGCGCCACCACCAACCACGGCTGCAGGAGAAAGGCAGGGAACACAGTCAGTTATTCCAATGGCACCAGCACCCAAGAGCCCTGCCCACACAGGAAGGAAACAGCCAATGGCAGAGTTAGGGGCTACTTACAGATGCTCACGGTATTCTGGTATTCTCCAGACATTCTGTGTGGGAGAGAACAAAAAACATGAGCCAGTGAGCCCAGAGCCACACTTCATCTCCCATATGCACCCTACACAATAGCAGTCAGATTTGACTGAGGGTTCAAGGCTAAGCCCGTTTTCTACACCAGCCCTGAAGGGTAGCCTTGAAGCCAGCAGCTCACAGAGGCCATGCCCATCACATTCTACCCCATTACCTGCACTCCTCGCCCTCCAGTAGCTTGCGGTAGGTGGCAATCTCAATATCCAGGGCCAACTTCACGCTCATGAGTTCCTGGTATTCACGCAGCATGCGGGCCAGCTCCTCCTTGGCCTTCTGCAGGGCAGTCTCCAGTTCCGTGCGCTTGTTGTAGGCGTCTGTGAGGGCCAGCTCCCCTCGCTGCTCTGCATCAGCCACAGATGCCTGCAGAGTCTGGCACTGTGGACCAAGGGCATGGGGCACAGGGACATCAGAGTCTGGCGAGTAAGGTCTCTATACCTGTGCCCTCTCCTGCTCCAGTCCCCCAGCCACACTGATGAGTGAACATACACACCATGCAGGAAGCCTGCCTCCTGGGTTGCCATGCTGGGCTACCCAGCATGTGCCTTAGAGACACCCTGGGACAAAGACAATCATGTGAGCTCTGCAGACAAGGCCAGGCTTTTCCAGCCAGAGGCAGCTCTCTCTTGCTTGTTCACAGTTGGAAGCATCCATCCCAGGACCTTGCACTTATGCCTTGGTACACACCTGCTTCTTGACGTTCTCAATCTCGGCCCGCAGCCTCTGGATCATCCTGTTGAGCTCTGCAATCTCACTCTTGGTGTTCTTCAAGTTGTCACCATACTGGTCAACTGAAGTCTGGAGCTGCTGGACCTGACACCAGGGGCCACAGGGAAACAAGAGTCAAAGGGAGGTGTGGGGGCCAGATCCCCAATTAGCCCTGGTGACAGGGAATGACACGAAATACCAGCTCATCCTCAATTAGACTGGGACCCACTGCATCTGGGAGAATCCCAGTCATCTCCAATCACACGTGACCCCCCAAGTGATGAGAACAATGTCAAGAGTGGAGCCACCCTCATCCCTTGAGAGAGTCCTCATCCCCCACCTTTGTCTGGTACAGCGCCTCGGCCTCAGCCTTGCTCTTCTGGGCGATCTCCTCATACTGGGCACGGACCTCAGCGATGATGCTGTCCAGGTCCAGGTTGCGGTTGTTGTCCATGGAGAGCACCACGGATGTGTCAGAAACGTGCGTCTGCATCTGGGACAGCTCCTGCCAGGGAAAATATCTCACATCAGCCTCCTCATCCCTAGAAAGTCTCCCCTGACCTCTGATCCCAGGTCTCCAAATCATGGACACAGCCATGATGGCAGACTCCAAGGGAAGCTGGATCAGCAATTCCAAACACGCAGAGAGGAGGACAGGGTGAAAGTTCCAGTGGAACGCTCAGGAGAGAAAAGGCAGGTGCTTCTGGTCTTGCTGCTCTCCAAAAGCCATGAATTTCTCCACATCAACAAAGAGGTGCATGGGATGTTGGGTAGAAGGCACTGGGATACATCCTGACTCCTGGTCACTTCTTCTAAGACAACACCTGGCTTTGGAGCATTCCCACTTGACCCTTGCTCGCTGCAACCCTTTCTTGTCCAGGGCCTGACTGAGATCTCCCTGCCCAGAATTAATGGACCACAAGTCCTTTGCAAGAGCTGTATATTCCAACCAGCCTCAAAGAAACTGGTTTTCCCAGAATGGGGAGTGATGGGGGCAGAGAGAGTCCTCACCGCTTCATACAGGACCCTCAGGAAGTTGATCTCATCATTGAGGGCATCCACCTTGGCCTCCAGTTCCACCTTGGCCATGTAGGCAGCATCCACATCCTGTAGGAAAGGGAGTGGGATAAGGGCCATGCATTACAACAGGACCCAGATGCAGGGTGAGGACAGACCCTTAAAGGCATTCTTAGCAACATCTAGAAGACTACACAGCACCAGGGGAGATGGTGAGGGACGAGCCACCAGAAGACATGACAGGCTTTTCCCGATCACGTTCTCCTCCCGCCATGTTGATGTGGCCACCCACTGCCTGGGACGGCAGCAGGTAGGATGGAGGTGACGCTGAGCTGGACTAAACCATGACCGAGCCCAAGGCCAGGGTCCCCAGGAAGCACCGCCCTCCCACCCTTCGCTTCTCACCTTCTTGAGGACAACAAAGTCGTTCTCAGCGGTTGTGCGCTTGTTGATCTCTTCCTCATACCTGGAGCAAGGAGCAGAGGCCAAGGCCCACAGGTCAGCAAGCCAGCACTCCCCAGGACTCTGCTGCTTCTTTTCAAACAGCCCAAGATTTGGAAACTTCCAGGCAATTAACAACCTTTCCCCTGCTCATGCAATTCAACCCTGCCATTGTGTTTCTTAGTGGCCATGTGGGTATCCAGAGGCTAGACCCTGGGAGACAGAGGCTTGCATTTTCAAAAGCCCAAGGATGACCAGCAGCACCAGCCAGGGTTTGACTGATTTTTTTTAGTTCCACAGAAGTGTATCCTGTTGGTCATGATGGCAGATGGAATTTTCTAAAAAGTTGTCACTCTCTTCTGGCTCCTTTTAGTTATGAGTGAACTAAAAGTGACAGTTGGTATTCACTCAGTGCCATCCCTGCACTTAGCTACATGCTTTTCCTGCCTCATTCAAATTTCTTTTATTCCCACAACCTGAAAGGTAGAATATTACCATCATCTTACAGGATTCCACTGGAGCTCAGAGACATGTAACAACTTGGCAGGCAGCTGGTAAGTGACAGTTCAGCATTCCATCTAACTCTCTCCCACCTTCAATCTTCCAAACACACACTACCCTGCTTTTCATCTGTCTAGCTTCTGATCTTATCTGCCGATGGCAATCCCAGCCCCCTTGAATCTGTCACTGACTCCTTCCCCCTTTTGAAAACATAAAGAAATAGAGGAAAGGAACTGTCTGGACCCTTGGTATGTCCCAGAGCCGAGCCACAGGTGCCAAGCCGCTGCCCCTTCCTTTCTCCCACATACTTGGTCTTGAAGTCCTCCACACTGTCCTGCATGGCCTTCAGTTCAGACTGCAGGCGGCCCTTGTCATTGCCCAAGGTGTCCAGCTGCTTCCTGAGGGCACTGAGGTAGGTCTCAAAGAAGGGCTCGAGGTTCTTAGGGGATGTGGTGGTGGTCTGCTGCTGCAGGAGGTTCCACTTGGTCTCCAAGACTTTGTTCTGCTGCTCCAGGAAGCGCACCTGTGTTCATAGAGACACAGCCGAGAACTGAGTGCTGGGAGTGTCAGCAGGCAGGCCAGCCACAAGCTGCTACCAAACCAATCCACCTCAGAGCAACCAGGAAGCCCCCCAATGGACACGCAAGGAGGGCCACCAGGTCACAAACTCCCTGGCACTATTCACTGAGGTCAGTCGATGGCCCTGTGCCTGAACCCATCCAAGAGAACTAGCCATGTGGGTGATAATGGACAAAGCACACAGTAGGACCCACCTGGCAATGCAGCAACACAATCAAACCACAGCAAACCAAAAGCCCTGAGTTCCTAGAGAATAACATTGAACTTCCTCCGACTAGCAAAGAAGAGAGACCCAAGCATCGTCTGGAGGCTTTTCCATTCAAAGTGATTCCAATCCAAAGCAAAGGAAAGATCAATTCACCAAGGAGGTTGTTATTATTATTAGTAGTAGTATTTAAAAGGCAAAGAGACAGAGAGTTTTTCTTCCGCTCATTTGCTTCTCCCCCAAGTGCCTGCAACAGCCAGCATTGGACCAGGCCAAAACCAGGAGCCAGGAACTCTATCCAGGTTTCCCATGTGGATGGCATTTGAGCCATCAGCTCTGCCTCCCAGGATACACCTTGGCAGGCACCTGGAACCCCAGGCCTTCATATGTGGGATATAGGTGTCCCAAGCAGTGTCTTAAATGCTTCGTCCAAGGCTTCTTTTTTTTTTTTTAAATAAAATTCCTGCTGGTCAGGCCTGGTGAGCCCCTGTAGATCTGGGTACCCCTGAAGACAGTCATGTAGGACCAAGGCCCCATTCACTAGACTTCATTCTACTCCAGGTTTTCCATGAATTTGCCCTTCTCTACGAACAAGAAGCCGAGGTAGCAGCTTCATACACCTGTGCACCTGCGTGCAACTGTGCACCTGCCATCCCAGCTTGGATGCTGAGAGCTGAAAGCAAAGCCAAGGAAGGGAGACAGGGTGAGACAAGACAAGGATGAACCTTTGGTCCTGCCGTCAACCCTATGTATCCTGGAGTCACAGGCAAACCTCCCTAAGCTCTTGACTTAGGCAAACCAGCAAAAAGAGCAGATCCACTCAGAGTGGGTCCCTCTGATTTCAAGAGATCCAAGACATAGAGGATCAGTGATCCTGGCCAGCCTGGACCACAAAGTGCTGTACTTGTCTGCCCGGTTATCAGTCCCTACATGAGTCAGCCCTCTGGAACCAGACAAGCTTGCTCTCATTCATCCCTCTTGGCTGTGTGTCAGCTCAAACCCAAGTCAGCGCTAAAGCTAGCAGGAAGTCAAGCTAGCAGCAGGATCAGGCCCCGGTTCATGGGCAAAACCCATGAAATTTGCTGCTGCTATCAGTTCGCAAGTGCCTGTCCCCAAGTTTACCCCCAGAGTGAACTGTGCTATGGCCAAAACCAAAATCTGAGAACAAAGCAGGGAAAGAATCTGTTTGACAGCTGGAATGATGAGAACCAGAGAAGCCATTGAGAGACCCTGGGTCACACAGCGTCCCCTGGGAACTGCAGATGCTTAACCAATCACTCCAGGAAGAGGAAGCAATGTCTCTCCTCCAGCAGCCAGGAACTAAACAGGGGTTTTGTGGTTTCCTGACGGCCTGAGGTAGTCTCCAGTCGGAGACCCCCAGTGACCATCAGCCCAGCTCACCTTGTCGATGAAGGAGGCAAACTTGTTGTTGAGAGTCTTGATCTGTTCGCGCTCCTCCGTCCTGACCCTCTGGATCTCAGGGTCGATCTCCACATTCAGGGGGGTTAGCAGGCTCTGGTTGATGGTGACCTCCTGGATCCCCCCAGCGGGGCACACAGGGAAGCCAGAACCACCTCGGCCGCCGAAGGAGCCCCCGAATCCACTGCTAAAGCCACCAGCGCCAAAGCCACCGCCAGCGCCAAAGCCACCAGCGCCAAAGCCGCCAGCACCTCCGAAGCCAGCGCCCTGGCGGGACCCAGCGACACTCATGGAGATGCTCTTGTTGCCCCCGAGATTGTAGAGGCTCCTGCTGCCGAAGCCCCCAGAGGAGGAGCAGCGCCCTGCACCCCCAGCCACGGAGACCGAGCTGAAGGCGGCCCTCTTGCCCCCGCCTACGATGGCAGAGGCACCGCTGAAGCCCCGGGACCCGCCTCGGACGCACTGCTGTCTGGCGATCATGGTTGGAGAGAGGAGTAGGAGCTGGGAGCTGTCAGACAAGAGGCTCGAGGGACCAGGCGAGTGAATGCTGAAACCCTGAACCTGGGTCTCTTATATGTACTGGAGCGGCAGGGCTTGGTGGCAGGGGCATCAAGAGAAAAATCTGAAAAATCTCTGGGCTTGGCCTTTGGCACCGGCCCATCCTTCTCGCACCCGCTGAGCGTGTCACTAAACACACCTACCAGGAGTCATTCGGAGGGCACAGGTGACTGGCTCCTGTCCCACTCCCCTCCAGAAGCTGAGCCAGTTGCCCCAGGGCCTCTGAGATCAGAGGCCCATGCTCCCACCCGGCTACACCAGCCTCCCTGCGGCTCCTTGCCTTGCACACAGGATGTTCCATCCCTGAGCCACAGGGCTGAGGTTCAAGTGCACACAGCCTGCCGCCCACCAGCTGAAACAAATCCTCTCCTGAGATTCAGTCATTTTGCCTATAACTCAGGAATCATGTAAGCAGGTTTCATCCCCAACCCCTCAATGAGGGCAGTGGTGAGCAGCCTGCCTTAGACTCAGGCTTTGCTGTTCTGATTTTCATTCCTGTACGTGCCCTGGGCCCCAGGAAGACACACAAGGGGAAGTCTGTCCTATCGCAGCCTTGATGCCCTTCCAAAGCCAACTCCAGCCTCCCTGAGACCCGAGCTGCTGAGAACCTGCCGGCTCTGGAGCAAGGTGTGGAATAGAGGGAGATGAGGGGGAAGCAAAATGCTTTCCAAAAGTTAACACGTCTGTGTCCCATGTGGAAGGCCGCCTGCGCTTGGTTCCTTGCTCCCGCTGATAACTCCAGCTTCCTGCTAATGCAGACCCTGCAATGCTGGGGACAGCTCAAGGTGTGTTGGGTCCCTGTGACCCACGTGGGAGCCCTGGATTGCATGTGGCCCTTGGAAGGATGAACCAGCACACCAAGTTCTCTCTCTCATCTCCCCCCACCCATTCCATTTTTCCTCCTCATTGTCAATTTTTTTTTAAGCCTTCCCTCTAGATCCCTGACCTCAGGCTCTTGAGAGCCCTGTCATTCCAGAAGCCTCTACTTATGTCTGCATTTGCACAGTTCGGCACCTGCTGCTCCCGCTGTTTGCTGCCCAGCTCTTTGCGTGGCTCCACAGAAACAGAGTCCCTTCCACTTCTCCGCAATGTTCCCAGTACCTATAGAAGGTCTCATCATGTTCCTCATGCCAGATATCCCTGTTGGTGAACCTGAACCCGAATGCTTCCCCCAAGCTAAGTGCGGCACATTTGTGTTCAATCCCACCACCAGTTGCCGTGAACCAGCTGTACAGTCTGGAGCATGTGACCTAACCTCTCTGATCCCCCAGCCAACCCCTCTTCCCTTGTGTCACTGAAACACCTGCTAGTAGGTACACACAAGAGGTGTATCTTGCCCAGGTGCACTTGACCAGCAAGCCCCCTCCTAACACCACCAGAGTGCCACCAGGCAGTCTCATTGTCCCTGACCAGGAGAAGTTCCACAAATCTGTATTCCTTGTCTCAACGCAGTCCCAGGGAAGGAATGGCCCCAAATCTCAGGCAGAACTCTATCCGGTGCCTTGATGATCCTCCTAGGTCCCAAACTGAGTGGAAACTGGAATTCTTAGCCGTCAGTGCTCAAGTGATCCACACTCACTCATGGTCCCTACCTGCACCATAGGCCTGGTGTGAGGTCAGGTGCTCAATTCTGGGGAAAAGCCAGACAGAAACAGGTGCGTAGCTCATTGAAGCCTCCGCTCAGGACAGAGGGGACTCAGAGGGAACTGGCACCCTACAGTACACTAGTTTCCACCCTGGCCCCTGGGATGATTGGTGTGGAGGCACTGGGGTGGAAAGGGGGCAGGGAACTCCAGGATCCTGGGGGCTTCAGGGGCAGCCACAGAAAAACGCTTGTGCCACTGCCATGGGCACTTGGGTCTCCCAGTCAAGTTTCAAGCCCTCAGCCGAGGCCTGGGTAGATGGCCAAGATATCGGCACGGTGCGGTCTGGAGTTCAGCGCCCCTGCCTGCCTCCTTCAGCCTTGTCTTTGCACCTGCCTGCACACAGCTGCTTTCCAACTGCTCCTTCTGGGGATTTCCACGGGCTAGGATGGGGAGATCATGTTAGCAGAGCTGGATCCCCAAGGTAACTGGTGGCAATAAGGTGGGTTAGAACTGCGTGATAAAGTGGGATAAGGCAGGTGCCATGTGCCGAGAGCCATGTGCAGTGCCCAAAGCACAGAGTGCTGGTGGTAGGTGGAGTTCAGGAAAGCTGTTTATGCCCTGTTTGCTTCTCAGGGAGAGAGCAGGAAGTACCTCCCAGCCCTCAGACCCAAAGGAATCCCAGGGACAGTTGCTTCTCAGGAACAGGGAGATGGACTCTTACCTAACACTGGCACTGCGTGCTGATCACCACACGTTTCTTTCAGGCATCAGTTCCGATTCTCATCACAACCCTGTTATGTGCAGCTTAGGGGTGCAGACTTTGGGGTTCAGAGAGATTAAGTCAGTTGTCTGAGATCACACAGCAAGGACGTGGTGGAGGTAGGAAGCCAGTTCTAACTATCTATCTGGCTTCAAAGCTCGTAACCTCAACCTCTACACCACAATGTTTCCCACAGGTTACTCTGCCCACACAGAACCTGTAGGGGAGAAAGACATGTCCAGCAACTGAGGACCCCAGAACTGTGTGCCCTGTAGACATAGGTCAGAAACTTCACATCCTTCCTCTGTCCATATCATCCTTCTGGGATTTCTTTGACCCTGTCCTTAAAGGAACCTGTTAAAGGTATGACACTATCCCAAGGGGCCACTTCTCTGCCCTCCAATTAACTAAATCCAATTTAATTTCACGGGAAATCCTCTGCTAAACCCAAGCCAAACAGGAAGAAAGTTGTAATCGAGAGCCATTCCTGTGCACCTGCTATTAAATCGGAAGTTCACAAAATTCTACGAATGCAGCATGCATGACTTAGGGTGAGGGCTGAAGGTGGGTAAGAGCTTTCTAGGCAAGAGACTCATACCTCTCCAGAGAGACACAGGTAAGAGAGGAGACTCAGGGGGGCAGAGACAGCAAGCAGACGGACCGACGAGGTGGCCCTTCTGGGCTGGGTCCACCCACTCCCAGGCCCCACGGGGCTTCTCTCACTGATGCCCTTCTGACCTCTGCGTGTCTCAGGGAGAGAAGGGCAGCTTGACAGGGGCGTGGCTCGGGTGGCAGGGTGTGTCTGCTCGGGGCTTTCTGGGCGAGGGAGGCAGGCAAGCCTCAGTTCAGCCCTGGGATTAGCATCTTGAGGAGTTCTGTCACTGGCAGCCCCAGAGCTGGTGTGCACGGTGTGGGAAAGCACCCCTACCTGCCCATGCCTTGGTCACCCAACCTTGACCGCCCCAGTGTGGGCTTGAGTCACTCTTGGGGAGCGAGAGCCAAGCAGGAGTTTGGCCCTGCCGTGAAGGGGTGTCAGCACTTCAGGAAGGAACTGGAGAACCCCAGGCTTGGGGGAGTGGCGGAGCAAGGGGGAGTGGGGAAGAGGGCAGCTGTCTGTGTCCAGGGCACCTCCCGGCTCCCAGAGGTCAAGAGCAAGCAGGGGCTTCCCAACACGTCCTAGTAGTACAACCATTCTTGCAGCTAAAGACAAGTGCATGTGTAGAGTAAAGCAAGGGAGAGATTCCCCCAGTGGAGAACACCCGTACATCTGCTGACTTCTCACTTAGGCCCCTGGACATAGCGCCCTACCCCACCCCACCCCCAGGACCAGCCCTTTCCCAGCCTCCAGCAAGCCTAAGTCAGGCCTCCTGTGCTGTACTGTGAGCTCCGAGTTCTGCTCCTCCGCGGTCATTGAAACGGAATGTGCTTGTCAGTTGCTAAGCCCTGTAGATAATGTTCATAAAACCAGGTGTTGCTGGAATCCTACAGTGGCTTTTAGAACACTCCCTCCCCTCTCTCAGCCCATCTTCTCACCTGCAAAGTGACAGGTTAGGGCTAATATAACCAACCTCCCTTCTAGCTCCACTTTTCCCTGTTTCTCTAATACTTTTTAAACTTTTTAAAATTCTTTTATTTATTTCAGAGAGAACAAGAGCTTGTGCTTGCATTCCCATCAGCTGGTTCACACTGCAAATGCCTGAAACTTGGGATTGAAATTGAGACCCAAACTGCAATCCGGGTCTCCCAGGCAGGTGTGATAAAGTACTTGAAGCATCACTTCCTCCCAGGGAAGGTAGGAAGCTGGGGTCAGAAGTGGAACTGGGTAGCAAATTCAGGCTCACTGATACGGGTTGCTTTATAAATTCATGAGTAAGGGAGAACATGATTTTCCATCTGCTGATTCACTCTCCAAATGCCTGCCACAGCAAGGGCATGATCAGGCCAAGCCAGGAGCCCCCGGAATGCCTCCTGGGTCACACAGAAACAGAAAACTGAGTGCAAAGTGGAGGAGCCAGTCCCCCACTCCTCAAGGTGGGGCAGGCATCTCCCAAGTGCTGGTCCCAGGGATGTAGGCATCTTAACCGCTGAGCCAGCTTCGATTCTTTTCCACCCTGGCAGCTGAACATGACCTCTGGAATAGACCTCTGGATCTCATGTCCAGCTGTCCTACCTACTAGCTATGTGACCTCAGGCAAGTTATGAAGCCATTCTGTGCTTCGTCTTTCTGACAAAGAGAAGGAGCCCAAGATGGGGAGGGGGAAGCAGGGGAGTTGGAAGGGCTCCCATCCAGGGCAGAGCAGCCTGGTTCTGGCACCCAAGGCTGCAGCAGCCACCCAGGCTGGGCAGAGCTGGTGTTGCTAAGAACTAACCCTTTGTTTCCCTAAGCTGTGGTTCAGGGTTTGGCTACCAGCACCCCTGAGGGGCCCTGGGAGGAGCTTTCTTGGGCTTTTCTGAGTGACAAAGCAGGAAGAGGGCAGGTCAAGTGCCAGCCAGGCCAGGATCCCTCAGGAGCTGGCACAGTAGCAGAGGCGTGTTCATTTGGGGGTAAGTGGAACTGGCAGCGGGGCTGAGGCCAAATCACGTGGGTGGGATGGCGTGGATGTCAGTGGAGACAAGAGCTCCCGGCTCAGGGCAGAGAACCTTGGGGATAGGAAAGGAAGTGATTCTGCATGTCACGGTGTACACATGTAGGACACACACAGGCAAGGGTGCAGGGAGCTTCCATAGACAAAGGACGGAGTTCAGAATGGCACCTCTGGACCTCACCAGCCGAGTAAGACCAGCTGGGCAGCCCCATGCACAGCAGTTGACTGGCATCCTAGAGCCTCAATGGCCTCACCTGTGAAATGGGCTGTCCTCTGCCTTTGCTTGCACTCTGAAGACCACAGGTGAAATCATGTGCTTGTAAAACCACAGAATCCAATCTGTGTGTGGGTTGGAGGTGAGGGCTGATGTACAGAGCCCGGAAGGGGAGGAAAGCAAAGGGAGCTATTCCTTGTGAATGCCCCCTTGCCCTTCCCCTCCCGACCTCCAGCCATGAGCTCGAGGCTTTACACAAATTTTCACACAGCTCTGTGTGTGCAGAGCAGGCAGTGTCTAGAACTCGGAGAAGTGAAGCAACTTTCCCAAGGTCACACAGCCAGTAAGGGGATTGAATGATGGAGGCAGTTCAACCCAGGTCTGCCCAGTTCTGAAACCCAAGATCTCACCCCGAGTCAGGGAAAGGCTAGTGAGGCCCTGGGACTGGGCTCAACCACAGGCCTTGAGCAAGGTCCCAAGTCCCCGTGTCCCCCTCCTCCTCCCTGCTTTCACCTAGACTCTGTATACAAGTCCTGGCAAGGGTGCTCTCCTACGTTGGCATAGCACCTGGGTCGCAGTGGGTGTGTGATTTTCACTGCCCCGTCCCCAGTGTTCATTAGACAGCCCGGTGCAGTGCCCCAGGACCCAAACAGAGAAAGAGCTATAGCCAGATTGCTATAGGTGTAATTTATTAGCTCACAGGCACAGGGAGGGAATGGGGTCTAGGGAGACTCAATGGTGGGGTGCACCTACTGAGAGGTGAGAGGATTTGGTCTTGGGGGACCACTCTGGACTTCCCTCTCTACTCCCCATTCCCCCAGAGAGCAGATGAGCAGGAGGTGAAAGGAGTGGTGATGGCCTGAGCAACGAGTAGTCACAAGGAAACCCTACATGCAGGCATGCACAGCTCAAGCTAGAGATTCTAATGGTCCCTCGCTTCCCATCAGGAAACCCTGGGTAGATCTGAGCACTTCCCCTGCTGCCAACCACATGGTTCTGTCATCCTCCAGAGGTCGTTCCTGCTCCTAAGAAGTTGGGAGAGTGGATGGGGGTGTGCAGCCAGAGGGTGGGGGAGAGCAGGGGCCCCAGCCTGCATAGCTCAGGAGCTAATACCTCCGGCTGGATGTTTTCACCGTGGTGGTCCTGCGCAGGATGGAGGAGCCCCCCGAAGCAGGTCCCCCCTTGACAGTGCTGAAGCCACCCTTGTTGGCCCCGCCACCCCCACAACCACCACCCAGGGAGAAGCCGCCTCCAAAGCCAGCTGCGCCACTGCTGCCGCCACCGCATGCGGTGGTAGAGGTGCCAGTCACAGCTGCAAGGCAAAGAAGGGGCTGAGTCAGGCAAGGGCAGTCCAGCCCAGCCAAAGGATGGGAGTGGGAGGGGGGTGGAATCTGGCAGCAGAGGAGTGGGAACTGGATAGACATACCAGCATCGACCACAGCCCTGTTCACTAGACCCCTTGCACATGTCTCCAAGTCAAAGGAGCACGGTTGAGGCCAAGGACAGGTGGAAAGAGCTTTGGGGTGGAGCCAGGGGTGAGGCAGGGCACAGGAGGGCAGGTCCTGGGAGTGGATACTTACAAATGCTGACTGCACTGGGACATTCTCCAGACATCCTGAGGAGAACAGAGAGAGAGGGTTCAGGAGTACCCCATAGCCCAGGTGAAACCCTCTCCCTCCCTGCAGCCTTGGCATTGGACCAGCCTCGGGTGCCAGGGCCCAGAGGACAAGCCCAGTAGATGTAGTGGGAGGAACCAGCAGGTGTCCATACCCATACCCAACCTACAGCCCTACCGCAAGTCCTCAAGGCAGCCTTTGACAGGGCCAATGCAACCAGCGCTGAACCATGCTCCTTCCCTCTCCCTACACTGGCCCTGGGAACAGCATCCCTGTTGCCATGGAAACACAGGCCCCAAGACTACACAAGCTTCTCCCATCTGCCAGGACCCCTCTCAAGGCGGACCCCTCCACAGTGGCCACACCTGCTCTCCTCGCTCTCCAGCAACTTGCGGTAGGTGGCGATCTCCACATCCAGGGCCAGCTTCACATTCAAGAGGGCCTGGTAGTCACGCAGCAGCCGGGCCAAGTCCTCCTTGGCCTGGTGCAGGGCCACGTCCAGATCTCCCAGCTTCTTCTGTGCGTCCTTGAGGGCCAGCTCCCCGCGCTGCTCGGCCTCCGCAATGGCCGTCTGCAGCTGCTGGCACTACCCCAGGGAGATATGGGAAAGAGGAGGGAGATGGTTGGCAGGCTCCACTGGGAAAGTCCTTGCTCAAGTCTAACCCAGCCACTCCTGCTGCCACTCAACACAATGCTTCAGAAGAGATGCGGTAATACTACAATCTTGCTAGTTACCAAATGCTGCCTCTGGAGCTGGAGGCCAAGCCACGGCTTTTCATTGCTGCTTGAAAGCAGTCAGCATTTACAGCCTGGAACCCTTGAGCTCTCAGCCTCCTGCTCTGACCTCCTGGATCCAACTCCAGCTCCCCAAAGGAGGCTGTCCCTGCCCCTGCCCCTCTCTGAGTTTCCCCTACCCCTCTCTGAGCCTCCCCTGCCCCCCTCTGAGCCTCATCTCTATCCCTGTAAAAGGAGCATGCTGCTCATGACAGCCAAGCATTTGAGTTTGGTCCACCGGAAGAAAAACAGGTGCCGCGCGCGCACACACACACACAACCAGTGAGGACCCCCAGCCCTACTGACACCCAGGCCCTGGGCCCCAGTCATACCTGTTTCTTGGCTGCGTCCGCCTCACTCTGCAGCCTCTGGATGGTGCGCGTGAGCTCAGCAATCTCATTCTTGGTGTCCCTCAGGCTGTCCCCATGCTTGCCAGCAGTCACCTGCAGCTCCTCGTACTGTAGGTCAAAGAAGTGGCTACAAGCTGGGGCCTAGTCCTGGAGGATCCCCTCCAGCCCCAAGCCAAGCATATTTGGTCCCCGAGAGGCTTCAAGGCATCCCCCTCTCTCTCCCCAAGGCATGGGGAGATGTGTGGGCAAGCCCAGCCCAGCCCACCCACCGGAGCCAGCAGAATCCCTGCCCACCTTGGTCTGGTACCAGGCCTCAGCCTCAGCACGGCTCCTCTGGGCGATCAGCTCATACTGGGCCTTGACCTCGGCAATGATGCTGTCCAGGTCCAGGTGCCGGTTGTTGTCCATGGACAGCACCACGGACGTGTCGGAGACATGGGTCTGCACCTGGGACAGCTCCTGAGGAAGCAGAAAGAGCTGCCACCAGTGTCCTCCCCTGAAAGGGGACAAGGGCCTCCCCCTACTCCCAGGAGCAAGGAGAGGCCTCAGGCTTCCCAGCTATAAAATGGACTGCTGTTTTTAGACATTCTGGTTCCTTGTAGATGTGCAGACTTCCAAGAAAGTAAAGGGGGAAAGCGAGTGTGTTCCATGCGGATGCTGCAGCCCTAAGCTCCCCTTGCACATCCACCAACACTATAGTCCTCAGAGCACCCATGAGGCAGCAGGCAGGTCACCAGCTGCTTCCTTACATGTTGTAAAAGGCCAGCTCCAAGCGGAAGCAGCCTGCACTGGGGCCAGCCAGTTAACCTCCCAGTGCGCTGTCTTCCCTCTAAAAACACCACACAGCCTGGGAACCATAAGGACAGGAGTTAAGTCGTGAGCTACGATGCCTGTGTCCATACCAGAATGTGTGCATTCTGGCTCCATTCTTGATACCAGCCGACACATACCCCCTGGGAGCCACCAGTGACAATTCAAGGGCTTGGGCCCCTGCCACCCATGTGGGAAACCCAGATGCAATCCCAGGCTCCTGGCTTCAGCCTGGCTTAGCACCAGCTGCTATGGCCATTTGGAGAGTGAATCCACGGGTACAATTTCTCTCTCTCCTCTCTCTCCCTTTCAGATATATAAATTAACTTTTTTTAAAAAAGAGATTTCAGGGACCAACATGGTAGCCCAATAGCTAATCTCCTTGCCTTGCAACTGCCGGGATCCCATATAGGCACCAGGTCATGTCCCAGCTGTTCCATTTCCCTTCCAACTCCCTGCCTGTGGCCTGGGAAAACAGTAGAGGATGGTCCAGTGCCTTGGGATCCTGCACCTGTGTGGGAGACCCAGAAGAAGCTCCTGGCTTCAGATCAGCTCAGCTGTGGCCATTATGGCCATTATGGCCACTTGGGGAGTGAACCAGCGGATGGAAGATCTTTCTGTCTCTCCTTCAGTCTAAATCTGACTTTCCAATAAAAATAAATAAATCACTAAAAAAAAGTAGATTTTATCAAATGAGCCTCTCAAACACTAAAAAATTACTACATTCAGTCTTCGTCTGCCTCTGTGCCTTCCCGTGCGTTAGGGCTCTCACAACGCCTGTCTCAGCCACTGTTGTAAGGCTCTGGCCACATGGGGGAGGGGGGTCACAGGAAAATGACAGGGTCCACAGTGGCCTGGCACATCCTTCATCATAGCATTGCCAATACCACCTGCCTACACTAGCCAGCTCCCTCTACAGCCAGCCCCGAGCCAGGTGTGGCCCTGAGGAAAATCTACCCAGGTCTTCAAACTGAAATGAAATGAGCTCCCCAACAGCACTGAGAGCAGGTGATGTGAAGGGCCCGCTAGCCCCAGGGGTCTCTCAAAAAAAAATTATTTTTAAGATGTTCATACGTGAAAGGCAGTGTCTCCAACCAGTAAGGAATTCAGATCCCAGTACTATATGTACTGTATATGTATATAGTACTGGCAATCCCTATACTGTATGTAAATACATGCACATTATCTCTGCCTATTGGCCAACAGAGTGACAGCCTCGGTGTTTTATATATGCAGATTATAGCCACCCATTGATCATGGTGCAGCCATCCCAGCACTGTGTGTAAATGCTTGTATATTGTCCCCGCGTGTCTCCATCTCACCATGTCATAGAGGTGCCGCAGGAAGTCTATCTCCTGGGTCAAGGTGCTCACTTGGCCGTGCAGATCCATCTGCCCCATGTAGGCAGCATCCACATCCTGCATGTGAAGGAGCAAGCAAGGTGGCTGACTCAGCACCCCCTCCAAGGGTCTCACCTCTTCATGAGCCTGCCCAGCATGTCAGCAAGCCCAGGACCACCTGCTCCCCCACTCGCCCCGCCTTACCTTCTTGAGCACGACAAACTCGTTCTCCGCAGCCGTGCGCTTGTTGATCTCATCCTCGTACCTGTGCCACAGGGAAGGTGCAGGCCATGGTCAGCCCAGTTCTGCCTCTAGAAACTTGAACCCACTCTACTTTAGGGAAGCCCCCAAACATCTCCCATTGGCCAACAACATCTTTGGGAAACAGTTCTTTCATGCAGCTAGCCACTGCAGAAACCTGGGGTCCTGCCTTCATTTATACATCCTCTCCTGTGCATAGAGAGGAGCTGAGGAACATTCGAGAAAGGGGCGTAGAATCTGTGCAATAGCATGACAGTTAAGGGCAGCCACCTGTTTGGATCACAGCCCTTAGGCAGCTTCGTGGGAACAGGTGCAGATGTGTCAATGGTGGCCAACCTTTGCCCACACTTTCAACAACAGGTCACTGCTGAAAACAACCAACTCCTCCCTGAGCAGTCTGGCTGAGGTGTTAAGGTTTTGCAATTGCCCAGAAACAAGTCATGAGAAAGATACAAAAAAAAAAAAAAATGTGCTGTCAAGAAATAGATGTGCGTATTTACCCACCTTAATGTGTGGCTCTTACTTAGAGCTTCAAATCAAACAGCCTGTATTTCTGAAACATCGGATATTTGTGCCCTCACAAATGGAGCTGGGTATTTGGTGAGATGGAGGAGTTTCTATTTTCAATTTTGTAGGTGTGACTGTGGCATGGTCTGATGGAGTGTGAATGAAGTGGCCTAGTGGTTGGGACTTGCTTCAAATCCATAAGGAGATGAAGGGAGATTGGCGGGAATTGCAGCTGGGGGATGAGAGCACAGGGCTCCACCCTTCTCCCCACCTGGAAGCATTGATATCCTTATATGATAACCAGTGTATGAGTAGTTATGCCAAGGTAGCAGCAGACCCACATCTGAGTATCCCCCAGGTGGGTCCCAGGACCCTGGGAAAGGGCAGGCCCTCCCTGGTGAGATGTCCCATGCCACCCCTTCCCCTTTCGTTGTGACCCAGCCTGCCTGGCTTCCCTCACTTGTTCTTGAAGTCTTCCACTAGGTCCTGTACATTCCTCAGCTCTGAATCCAGACGGCCTCGCTCTCCCTGGAGGGTGTCCAGCTGCCTGCGCAGGTTGCACACGTAGGCCTCGAAGACAGGCTCCAGGCTGTTCTTGCCGACGCCTGAGTTCTGGCCCTGCTCTTGCAGCAGTGCCCACTTGGTCTCCAACACCTTATTCTGCTGCTCCAGGAAGCGCACCTGAGCCAGAACAAGAAGCAAGGAGAGGCTGGTGTCATTCCTGAGACACAGCAAGGGCCAAGAACGCCAGCCCTCCTGTCTCCAGCCAGGCTCCTGGACACCAGGAACCCCCGGGCCCCAAGCTATGAACTTGAACAATGTGCTTGCCTGTCTGTCCTCTGGGATCATGCCACAGAAGAGCCATAAGTCACCAGGGGAGAGGACAAGGAGGCTGTAGAACGGCTTGCTTCACCAAGCCACCCAGCCTCTCCAGGTCCCACCTCCACTTCACCCTGAGCCCCAGGCATGCAGTGAGGCAGCACCACACAGGAAGTATACCCCCCATCAGGTGCCAAGATGCACTTGTCCCAAGTGCCACCTCTTGTGCCGGAATCCATAGGAGTCAAGGAACCTAGTCAACCCCAGTCCTGAACAATCCTGGACAAAACACTTAACTTCCCTCAGCCTCCATGTCTCATTTCAAAAAAAGGACACAGGGTCAACAGTGTTGTGGCATAATAGGTAAAGCTCTGCCTGTCACAATGGTATCCCATTTGGGTGCCGGTTCAAATCCCAGCTGCTCTACTTCCGATCCAGTTTCCAGTTAATGTGTACACGAAAATAGTGAAAGATGGCCCAAGTGCTTCAGCTCCTGCACCCACATGGGAGACACAGAAGAAGCTCCTGGCTTTGGCCTGCTCTAACCTTGGCTATTGAGGCCATTTTGGAATAAATCGGTAGATAGAAGAGCTCTCTGTCACTTCCTCTCTATAACTCTACCTTTTGAATAAATCTTTTTATTGTTTGTTTAAAGATTTATTTGTTTTCATTGGAAAGGCAGGTCTACAGAGAAAAGAAGAGACAGACAGATCTTCCATCTGCTGGTTCACTCCGCAAGAGGCCACAACATCCAGACCTGGGCCCAATCGAAGCCAGGAGCTCCCACACAGGTGCAGGGTCCCAAGGTTTTGAGCCATTCTCTACTATTTTCCTAGGTCATAAACAGGGAACTGGAAAGGAAATGGAGAGCTGGGGGGATCAGTGCCCATATGGGATCCCGGCACTTGAAGAAGGAGGATTAATCCATTGAGCAATCACTCCAGGCCCTTAATTAAAAAAAAAAAAAATTGGGCCCGGCGCGGTGGCGCAAGTGGTTAAAGGTACTCGCCTTGCACGCCCGGGATCCCATATGGGCGCCGGTTCTAATCCCGGCAGCCCCGCTTCCCTTCCAGCTCCCTGCCTGTGGCCTGGGAAAGCAGTCAAGGACAGCCCAAAGCTTTGGGAACCTGCACCCGCGTGGGAGACCCGGAAGAGGCTCCTGGCTTCGGATCGGCATAGTATCGGCCCGTTGCGCTCACTTGGGGAGTGAATCATCAGACGGAAGATCTTCCTCTCTGTCTCTCCTCTCTGTATATCCGCCTTTCCAGTGAAAAAATAATAAAAATAAATCTTAAAAAAAAAATTAAATGGACACAGTATCACTTATTCTAACTCCTCCTAAAACACTACAGTATGATATGAGGAAAAAAAGCATGAGTGCACTTGGGCAAATGGACTGGCCACAGGGTAGCTGCCTCCTCCATCCTCTGCCTCTGTGCATGGTGGAGGTGGACCATGCCAGCCAAGGAGACCACAGCAGGCCAGAGAGCAGTGCTGAACCGCCCCAGGGGAGCCCACAAAAGGAGTCAGGGCACTCCCAGTCTTCTGCAGGGCAAATTAACTGTGCATCCCTTGAGGGGTGCAGTACCACCCTCACCATCCTCTCCAAGCTGAGTGACTTGGCCGGAAGAGGAAGCTGCAGGGCCAGGTCCCTAACAGGAGCCTTGAGGACAGCCTCCTTTGGAGTAGCAAGATAAGACTGCTGTGTAAGTGTGTCACCAACAGCCATAGCAAGAGGCTCCAAGCAAGTGGGCTTGGCCAAGAGGCCTTGCGAGCAGGCCGGAGGTGACCTGAGCCAACCCAAGAAAGACCCTGAATGCCATCTGTGGCCACTAAGGGGACCAGCTTACCCCCACCCTCAGGGCAACTCAGCAGCTACCCAGCCCGCCCTCTCCAGAGGACCCTGCTCCAGTGACCCACCTTGTCAATGAAGGAGGCGAACTTGTTGTTGAGACACTTGATCTGCTCCTTCTCCTGGGTGCGTACCCGCTGGATCTCGGGGTCAATTTCCACATGCAGGGGGGTCAGCAGGCTCTGGTTGACCGTGACCTCCTGGATCCCCCCGGGAGGACAGGCAGGCCCAAACGTCTGCCGGCTGGCCCCCAGGCCCCCATAGATCCCACCGCTAAGGCCAAAACCTCCCAGGGTCCGGCCTGAGCAGGCACCCCCAGCCACGCTGACTGAGATGCCTTTGCTGCCCCCCAAATTGTAAAGGCTCCGGCTGCCAAAACTGCCCCTGTTGGGGCCACAGCGGGACACCCCACTGCCAACGCCACCACTGCTACTCCGGGACACGGTCATGGAGCTAAAGCTGGTGCGGGCCCGAGCCCCGGCCCCTCCGCTGGCGGAGCAGGAGCTGAAGCCCCCCTTGGTGGAGGACATATGTCGCGACATGGAAGACCGCATGGCTGGGTGGCGTGCAGAGCAGGCAGAGAGAAAGCTGAGAGAAGGGCACGGAGCTGCTGACAGGCCACGGATGACCAGGCTTTTTATCTTTCTCAGACAGGGTTGGTTCCTAGATGCCACGCAAGAGGGAGGTGCCTCGTGGGCCGGTTGTGGGGAGGCCCCTTCCCCAGCAGAAGGGAAGGAGGAAGGGAGGGGCCTCTCCCTGCCACCCCTCTCCCAGTCACCTGCATTGTGAGACTGGCGGGGGCAGGAGGCCACCTTCTGCCCCCTCGGGCACTGCTCACTTGGAACAGGATGACACCAGCTCCCACAACCACCTCCTTCTCCCCTCCAAGAGGCTGACTTGCTCCCCGCCCACCCAGCCCCGATGGTCTGATCCTAGTCAATGGGGCTCTGTTCTGCGGGGTTTCTCCCAAGACCCTGTTGTAAGCCAAGGCCCCGGGGCCCCAGGCACGCCATGCAGGTGTAAGCGAAGAAGAAGGAGCATTGGGCAACGCGGCTGCTGGGGAGGTTGCCCAGGCCCACAGCCTCCTGGAGGGGTGGGGCAGCCAGGCTGAGGGGCACAGGAGAAGGCCAGGAGTGGGAGCAGCCTAGTTGGTCCTCAGTCGTACCCTGGACAGATATAGCTGGGAGATGGCTGGGGGATCTCTGTGCACTTAAGGAAGAAGTCAGATGGCTGGGGTCCTCTAGGCAAGTGGTGGGCTTTCAAGCATCACCTGGGACTCTTGACCCTCGACCTACGGTACAGTCACCTTGGAGGAACCTGGGGATGGGTAGGAGACACCCCCACCCTGGCTGGAGACCCTGTAACAGCCCAGAGCTCCCTGTATGCCACACCCCTCATCCCCAGCTCCACTCCCCTATTGGACCCAAATCCAGGACTCCAAAGCAGGCAGGAGGACGGGAACTCCCTTCATACCCCATTCCCTACCCACCTCAGGCTGCTGGGAGCAAATGTGGGGACTCAGAATGTTAGGCCAAGCGTGACAGACACATGGACAAGGTGACTTCAGATACCGGCCCCCCTTCCCCCTTTGCATCCTGGCCAGGAAGAGGGTGGGAAAGACAGATACCTGCTCTAGGAGAAAAAGCTGAGGCATCCTAAGGAACCCCAAGAAGAGGATATGGCTGCATGGCAATGGGGGAGGAGGAGGGGAGCACCAGCCCCACAAACTCCAGTCCCCACAAACTCCTGCAGACCCCAAGGGGGTCACACATCTCTCCCTTAGGATGCAGGAGGCTGCTCAGGGCTCTAAAACATTTGGAGAAGATGAGCCCAGCTTCCCTGGGGCGGGGGGCGGGAGCACACTTATGACCCCTTAGAGCCCTCTCAGCGTTTAGGATTGTCAGTCAGCTATGCAGTGAGCCCGAGTGATGAAGCCCCACCATGTTGTGTGTCCTTGGGCAACCCTCAGCCTCTAGGGAGCCACCTCCAGGGAGGCCTCGGGCAAAAGCGAGGGCTGCCATCCCCACACTGAGCCATCACACGTCCCTGACCTTGGCCTTCTTTCCCCAGGCTGGGATCACTTTCTCAGCAGCCCTTATCTCTCCCTGTGAGCGCAGGAGGGGGTGATGTCACCTAGTGACTGGGGAGGTGGGAGCAAGAGGCCAGCTGTAAACACACACTTCACCCCAGCCCCGGGGCTGGCCCCACGCACGCGCTCATTGGCATATTTGTCAAGTGCCAGGCCTGGTGCCAGAAATCAGCGGCAGGTGCACAGGCAGTCCAGGGGTGGGCGTTGGGGGCAGTGATGGAGACGCCACTTGGAACATCTGGCTCCCACATGGATTGAGTGTCTGCGTTTAAGTCCCAGCTTACTTCCAATCCCAGCTTCCTGTTAAGGCACATCTTGGGTTCCTGCCACTCACATGGGGGACTCTCATATGGGCGCCAGTTCTAATCCCAGCAGCCCCGCTTCCCATCCAGCTCCCTGCTTGTGGCCTGGGAAAGCAGTCAAAGACAGCCCAAAGTTTTGGGACCCTGCACCCACGTGGGAGCCCTAGAAGAAGCTCCTGGTTCCTGGCTTCAGATTGGCTCGGCTCCAGTCATTGTGGCCACTTGAGGAGCAAATCAGTAGATGGAAGATCTTTCTCTCTTTCTCTCCTCTACAAATCTGAGTTTCCAATAAAAAGAAAAAAATCCTTTTTTAGAAAAAAAAAGAGGGAGGGAAGGAGGGAGGGAGGGAGGAAGAAAGGAAGGAGGGAAGGAAGGAAAGAAGGAAGGAAGGAAGGAAGGAAGGAAGGAAGGAAGGAAGGAAGGAAGGAAGGAAGGAAGGAAGGAAGGAAAAATCTTAAAAGAGGCACAGTGGGTTAGGTCATCGCCTATACTGTCACATCCCTTATAAACACTGGTTCACTTCCCATCCATGTCCTGCACCCCTCTGCCCTGACCAGCAAACCTGTACCAGGTAGTCCCCAGACCAAAGCAAGCCCAGAGAACTCCAACCAATGACATTATTTGACAGTGTTTGTAGGAAACAGGAGTGAGGCATGGATAACTTCATGAGTTAACTGGTTGTAGACCTTCCTGCAATCTATTGGAGCTCAGCTGCTTGAGTTAAACCAGGGGTTGCTCTCCGTTCTTGGCACTTTGTGGCTTTTTTATGGGAGCCTCACCCAAGGCAATGGCCATGCACAGATGTCGCTCAAGACACTCCAGCTACTGCAATTCCCTCCAGTAGGAGACAGTCAGCTGCCCCCTGCTGCTGCTCCCTGACCCAAAGGCTGGGCTCCAAGCCCACCTCACGGGCAGGAAACTGGAGCCATGGAGGATTGAATGGCAGTGCCAGGAAGGGATGGGGTGAGATGGCTGTTAAGCACAGAGGGTGAGCCAAGCCAGTGCTGACCAGGGAGAAGCAGGGCTTCTTAACCCAACAGCGACTATTTATTGAGCACTTACTATATGACAATTCTGCAGAATTACACATTGAATCTTCTGCCCTACACAGCCACATTCCACATGTCCACTCTAGCCCTGTGGATGCCCCACCTTTCTCTCTGGCCTCCAGCTGGGTGGGCTGAAGCAGGAGGAGGAGAACAGGAAACTAGAGGGAGGGAGGGAGGGAGGTGAGGGAGGGAGGTGAGGTGTCTTCTGCCGGCTCCTTCCCTTTTGCAGACCCTGTCCCTGTGGGCTGTCACCTCCCCAGTTGGGCAACTACTGTGAGCTCACTCCAATTTTTTCTTTCTGTGTCTTCACCCCCACACAGGGCAACCAACTCCTCCTTCTCTTCCCAGGCCTGTCCCAGGTCCAGCACTGGAAGTCCCCTCAGCCCTGCATGACCGCCCTGGCTCTGGCTGCCAGAATCTGGCCAGCTTCTTCTTATTGGTTCAATCCCTTGGCCCACCCCCACTCTTTCCAACTCTCTTGGGTTCTCACTGCCAAGATGCCAAAGAATGAAGGCCCACAGGGCTGTGGCCACATGCCATCTGTGTGTTGCACAAACTGCTCCAGATGTGTGGTCAAGGTCAGAGCCATTAAGAAGTCCATCATTCAGGGAGCTGACATTTAGCCTAGCAGTCAGGACACCCACACCTCACGTCGGAATGCCTGGGTTTGCTTCCCAACGCCAACTCCTGACTCCAGCTTCAAGTTTCTGTGGCCTTGAGCAGGCAGCCATGGTGACTCAAGGAACAGGGTCCTGCCAGCCACTCACAAGACCTAAATTGAGTTACCAGTTTCCGGTTTTGACCCGGGTATGTGTGTGTGTATGAATTATGTATATAAGTCCATCATTCAAGCAACTCCAGCATCCTATATGGGCACTGGTTTGAGTCCCAGCTGGTCTACTTCCTACCCAGTTCTCTGTTTATGGCCTGGGTAAACAGCAAAGAATGGCCCAAGTCTTTGGGACTCTGCACCCACGTGGGAGACCCAGAGAAACTCCTGGCTTCTGGTTTCAGACTGGCGCAGCTCCAGCCATGTGGCCTTGTGGGAAATGAACCAGCAGGTGGTTCATTTCTGCGTCTCCCTCTCTCTGTATACTTTTGCCTTTCAAATAAAAACGAACGTATCTCTTTTTTTAAAAAAAATCCATTTCTTAAAAGCATGTCAGAGACATTTCCAAGGCAAGTGTCTCCATTGGCACTGAGCTTTCCACCCTCCAAAGCTGCTGGACCAGAATGAACCATGCGTTCAACAGCAGAGTGATCAGGAATCTACCCACAGCCCAGTTCGGGCCTGTGAGGCTCCCCCTCAGCCCCCTTCCCTTAGAAGGAGCTGAGCCCTGAAAAAGCCAACCCCTAGGGGAAAAAAACAGAAGTGGAAAAGGCACATGCTTAAATTGACTTTAATAGAACTGCTGGCTGCTTTCTGCAGAGCAAGGACCAATGGGAGAGCAGTCAGAACAGTGGGTAGGTGGGGTTTTAATGACTGACAGAATCCACTGCTGGCTGACTTGGGCCATGGGCAGGAGATACAGAGCTGCTGTGGCACAGAGCCAGGTAGGAAATAAGAAGTGCAGGGATTCAGGGAGGAGGTGGCAGCCCGGTCACTCAGTAAGTGACAGATGTCTTCAGACTTGACTCAACCGTCTTCTTTACGATGGTATGGCTGCCAGAGCCTGAGCTGAAGCCAGAGCTGGAGCTGAAGCCAGAGCCAGTCACAGAGCAGGAACCCACAGCGGGGCCCTGCCCGGAGCCCAACGTGACACTGGAGCCTCCCGTCACAATGCTGGAGCAGCCAGCCCCAGAGCTGCCTTGTCTGCCTCCGAATCCACACGTGCCAGCCAGGCCTCCACCAACTCCTCCAGGAACCACCACGGAGCTGCCCTGTCCACCTGCGAATCCACACGTGCCGGCCAGGCCTCCGCCAGTTCCTACAGGCACTGCCACAGCGCTGCCTTCCACCACGGCTGCCAAGGGAGAGATCCCAGGGTCAGAGCAGTGCTCTTGGCTGTCTGTGGGGGTCCCCAATGCCAAAGTCCCCGCCCCAAGCCTTGATACTCACAAACTGTGACCTGGCTGGTGCACTCCCCTGACAACCTGAGGAAGAAAGTACAAAAGGATGTGACGCGGAGAACACTTCCCCGGCCGCTCACCCAAACTCCACAGCCCCAATGCCAATCCCACCCCCACCAACCAGCATAGTTGGGCACCCTTAGTGACTGGCAGGTGTGGTAAACTCTCAGCATCCCCTTGGGCACTGCAGGCCTACACCATTCTGCCCCACTCATCCCTCCATGCTCCCCGCACCTGCTCTCCTCGCCCTCCAGCAGCCTGCGGTAGGTGGCGATCTCCACATCCAGGGCCAGCTTCACGCTCATCAGCTCCTGGTAGTCACGCAGCAGCCGGGCCAACTCCTGCTTGGTCGATCTCAGAGCTCCCTCCAGCCCGTCCAGCTTTGCCTGGGCATCCTTGAGGGCCAGCTCGCCACGCTGCTCCGCGTCAGTAATGGCCGATTGCAGGTTGTTATTCTGGAAGAGGGGCAGGTGGAAAAGAGGGAGAAGAGGGCTGTAGGTATAGCACCAACCCCCTCTCCCAAGGCACTCATGTTGGTATAGCTTGGAGCTATACCCCTCCACCTAAAGGATAACCTCCCACTGTTCCCTGCCTCCCTATGGTGGACCCCAGAATCTTCACACCCACTCCCAGAAATTCAGAATGCTACCTCATAGGGAAGGGTATTACAGATGCAATTTATCAGGTGTCTGCAGTGACAGCCTGCGGTATTTAGGGGCAGCCCTAATGCCAGTGACTGCTGGCCTTGAAGGAAGTGGAGGGGTCACAGAGAGAAACCCCCTACCCCCAGCCGCAGGTAGAAGTGGAGAGAAGAGTGATTGATCAGACAAGGCACCCCTGGAGCCACCAGAAGCCAGGAAGAGGAAAGGGAGGGGACCCCAGCACCTTCCAGATACCTCCGTTACAGACTGGGAGAAAACACATGTGATCAGCTATGGGCGTCATGGATGCTTGCGATGGCATGCTGGAAAGCCACCTCCCTGCGCACACACAACCTAATCACTGATGTTTGTTTGTTTGTTTGTTTGTTTGTTTGTTTTTGTTTCGTTTAAAAGTCAGAGAGATGCATGACCGACTGAGAGAGAGTTCCCACCTGCCGGTTTACTCCTGAAATGCCCACAAAGAGCCAGGGCTGGGCCAGATTACAACCAGGAGCCAGGAACTCAACCTAGGTCTCTTGTGGGAAACAGAAACACCAAGGACTTGAACCCTCACCTGCTGCCTCTCAGGGTGCTCGTGGGCAGGCAGTTGGATCAGAAGCAGAAGAGCCAAGACACCTTGTAATTGTATATGGGACATGGGCGTCCAAAGGAGCGATCTCACCATTGTGCTAAATGTCTGTCTCCATCGAGTAACTCCACCCAATCGCTTTGTAAGTCCAACATTAGCCCTACCCTACCCTCTTCCCTAAGATGCTTAAAGCCCTTGCTGTCCCATATCAAACAGTATGTGCAAGTCTTTCTGGAGGGCCACCATGGTCCTTGCACTTTTCAAGACAATTCCATTGCAAACGCTTTGTACTGGGGAAAGCCTGGGTTGAGTTCTGGTTCTGACTCCAGCTTCCTACAGAGGTGAGGGCTCAGGAGCCTGGGTGCCTGCCACCCTCCAAGGAGACCTGAATGGACTTCTGGGCTCCTTGCTTCTTCCTGGCCCAGCCCTGGTGGTTAGGGCATTTGGGGAGTGAATGAGCAGACAGCTGCTCACTTGTCTATTTTCTGCACCTGTCCTTCACAGATTCTCATTCTGGAGAGACAGGCCTGAAACCTACATCTTAACAGACATCCTACAGGCTAATCTTCCACCTGTGGTGCCAGCATCCCATATGGACGCTGGTTCATGTCCTGGCTGCTCCACTTCAGGCCCAGCTGCCTGCTAATGGACTGGGAAAGCAACAAAGGGTGGCACAGGTGCTTGAGCCCCTGCACCCACATGGAAGACCCAGAAGAAGCTTCTGGCTCCCAGCTTTAGATTGGTCTAGCTTTGGCCATTGCAGCCATTTGGGGAGTAAGCAGGTGGATGGAAGATACCTCTGTGTGTGTGTGTGTGTGTGTGTGTGTGTGTGTGTGTGTGTGTGTGTGTGTGTGTAACTCTGCCTTTCAAGCAAAATAAATAAATCTTTTTAAAAGACACCGTTATAGATTCCACAGCAAGTGTCTAAATTGATGGAGGACACATTGGCTGCAACTGAGTGACAGTACAAGGCCACACCCATTCAGGCACTGCATCTCATCCCCACAGCCAGTCACTGACGATGGTTTAGCAGGAAGCATGGCATCCTGGAGTGGTCCCAGAGCCTGTCGTGGAGGGTTCCATAGGAGCAGGTGGGTGGAACTGCCCTTGGCACCACACGCTTTCTGTGACCCCAAGATCTACTCTTCAGGACTGGGGAACATGAGTGCAGATTTGATCATCTAAAAGGTCATAACCTTTCACAGATGGTGGTCCAGGGGAAGCAGGAAACGACCTCCCTCTCTTACTATACCCTCTCCCCTGCAGGTGCCTGCACCCTCAGAAGGCACCTGGCTAAGGATTGCTCTGCCTGCACCCACCACCCCTCTCGCCAGCTGTCTGAGGTCCTGGCTTTCACATTCCCCACCAGGGGACCACCTTACTCAGTGCTGGGCTTAGAGGAAGTATAGAGAGAGGAAACAAGGAAAGAGGAGGTTTTGCCCTGTCCCCAAGGAGCCGCAGATAAGATGCACACTGGACATGGATTGGAAGGTGACCAGAGCTCCCCACCACAGGAGGGGTTGACGACAAGCCAGCAGGCAGGTGCAGATGGACAGGGGATGGCTCAGTCACCATACCTAAGGAGATCCAAAGCTCCAACAGTTTCCAAGGCTTTTAACAAAAGGCCACCTGCAGCAAGGAAGCTCAGGGAATGAATCGGAGACTGGAATAGGGAAGGAAGTAGGAGGAGCAGACAAGGAGGATGGGGAGGGCTGGTAAGAGCCCAGGACCCCCGCACCTGCTTTTTGAGGTTCTCGATCTGATTCTGCAGCCCCTGAATGGCACGATGCAGCTGCGAGATCTGGGCCTTGACCGCCTTCATGTCATCCCCACGAAGCTGGACGGATGTCTGGAGCTCCTGGTACTGAGGGTGAGCCAGGGGACATTATGAGCTGAAGGACCTTGGATCCCAACACCAGGGCAGCTGGTGATGCCACCACCCACTCTTACGGGGAGGACCACCCTGGGGCATGGGCGTGGAGGCATCCACTCTGCTTTCCCAAACAGCACAGCGCACTGCTCGCTGCACACCCCACCCCACCCCGCTGACCCCCTGCACCTTGCTCTGGTACAGGGCCTGGGCCTCGGCTTTACTGGTCCTGGCGATGTCCTCATAGCGGGCACGGACCTCAGCAATGACACCGCTCAAGTCCAGGCTGCGATTGTTGTCCATGGACAGCACCACGGACATGTCATTGCCCTGCGTCTGGAGCTGGCCCAGCTCCTGCAGGGAGTACGAAGGATGAAGTGACCATCCATGTGACATAACCCGATCGCCTGCCCTCTCCCCACACAGTCACCTCCTTCTAATACACCATGAGCTTTGATTGTCATCTATCCATGCATCCCCAGGGCCTGATCATTCACACAGTGGGTTCTCAGGGGCCAATCACCAAAGGACAGAACCCCCAGGCACCCCAGCAGTCCTGTCTCTCCCTCTGTTCCCACTGACCCTGGCCAGACCTCACCTCTTCATACAAATGCTTCAGGAAGGAGACATGCACATGCAGAGCCTCCAGTTGACCATCCAGCTCCATCTTGCTTAGGAAAACCCCATCCACATCCTGCAAACAAGGACACAGAAACTAGGCACCCCCTACCTCCTCCTGATGGGCACGTGGGTCACCTACTCCTCTACCTGCCCCTTCCCCTCCAAGACTCTCTCCTTTCTCCAGCAGACCAACCCTGCCCTGCTCCCTTCCCTTCCCTTTGACTCTGACCCACACACCACCTTCAGAAAGCCTTCCTTGATTGATCTCAACCAGTTCTGCTTGCTGCCCACTCTCTCTCCTACAGAAACACCCTGCAATGGCTCAACTGGGTTTTGACTCAGGGTTACTCTGTTCAGGTAGCTGTCCTAGCTGTCCCCCAACTCCCTAGCACCACAGTGACAAGTGTTCTGGATCTAGATCTGCCTCCCACTTCACCCTCCCAATCCAGGAGGGTGGATCGGGCTCCAGGCTGTGAGATCGGGCTCCAGGTGCAGCCCCCACCTCACCTTCTTGAGGAGCACAAAGTCGTTCTCAGCCGTGGCGTGCAGGCGGGCCTCCTCCTGGTACCTGCCCAGAGGAAGGATAGACTCTGGGTGCCAGGGGAGCGCTGATCCTGCCTCCAAGCTCCACCCACCCAGAAAGAGACCCTCGCCCTTGGGTGCCCCAGAGCCAACATATGGCTCCCTACCACTTCCCCTCTCTCGTGGCATCCCAATGATGACCCTGCCCCACTCTCTCAGCCTCCCCCAACTCTCCTCTGTGACCGTCACTGCCCGACTTTCCAGGTGATATACACATTCAGCCCCCTGCCCTGCTCTACCTTCCTGCTTCCTTCAGGTTTCCTAGAAGATTCCCAAACTTGGTCAAGGTATCAAGCCCAAGTGTCGTAGCCCCATTCCTGGGCTCCTTCAGGGCCTCCCCCACCTCATAGCTATGGGAGGCTTGAATGGCTGTCCCCATGCCTCCCCCTGGACAAATGGAGACACTGAGGCAAGGAGACACGCCCAGGGCCACCCAGCTCCTCCTTGCTAACTGCCACTCCAACCCAAGGACCTGGTGACCTAGGTGGGGAACCCAAAAACCTCAGGACTGTGAATCATGCCATAGGCTTGCGGGTGGCCCCATGATATTGACAGCCTTCCACCCCTGTGACCGGAGAGCAACTGAGTCACTTTAACCCAAAGCTTGCAGAGCAGGTTATTTCTCAAGAAAAAAAAAAAAAAAGCCCACTGGGGCTTGGTTAAAATGAGCCCTTCCCAGCACTGGACAGAAGCATGAACCTTCGCAAGAAATGAGCCACAACCCGTGAGCAGAGACAGGTGCCTCAGGGGGAGGTCAGCCTTGCCTGGGCCCTTGGCAGGTGCAGACCCTCTGACAGCCTACCCCCATCCACACCCATTCAAGCCACTTCCGTAGGGAAAGCTAAGTTTGCCTACTTGGCCTTGTACTCCTCCTCCTGGTCCTGGCAGTTCTTCAGTTCAGCATCCAGGGCACCTCGCTCTCTCTGTACCTGCTCCAGTTGCCTTCTGAGCTGGGCCAGGTAGGCCTCAAAGACGGGCCCCAGGTCCCGGGGGCCATCACTCTCCCCAAGCTGCTGCAGCAGCTCCCACTTGGTCTCCAGCACCTGGTTCTGCTGCTCCAAGAAGCGCACCTACAACCACAAGCACAGATCCCTGAGCCCACCGTGAGAGCCCCCTGGCAAGCCTCTAAGACCACCCTCAGTCACCCAAGCTTTCCCCTTCCTCCCAACCTAGTCTGGACTCTAAGTGCCTCGAATGTTGGGGGTACTCAAAGGGAAGAGTCATCCCATTCCTAAACCCCAATCTCAGCACTACAAGCCTTGACAGAACAAGAGACTCTCCAGTTAGACCACAGGAGGGACTGCCTCACTGCAGAAATGATTAGAAAAATGGCAGCTGGGGGCCTAGTGGCTAAAGTCCTCACCTTGCATGCCGCAGGATCCCATGTGGGTGCCAGTTCCAACCCCAGTGGTCCCACTTCCCATCCAGCTCCCTGCTTGTGGTCTGGGAAAGCAGTTGAGGATGGCCCAAAGCCTTGGGATCCTGAACCCATATGGAAGACCCAGAAGTTCATGGCTTCGGATCAGCTCAGTTCTGGACATTGCAGCCACTTGGGGAGTAAATCATTGGGTGGAAGATATTTCTGTCTCTCCTCTTCTCTAAATATCTGCCTTTCCAATAAAATAAGTAAATCATTTAAAAAACAAAAAAGAAAGAAAGAAAAGAAAAATGGTAGCTGGAGCTGGCATTGTGACACAATAGGTGAAACTAATGCTTGCAATGCTGGCATCCCGTGGGAACACCAGTCCCAGCTGCTCCACTTCCAATCCAGCTCCCTGCTACTGCATCTGGGAAGGCAGAAGAAGACGGCCTGAATGTTTGGGCCCCTGTCACCCATGAAAAAACCTAGGCTTCTGCCTAGCCCAACCGCAAACATTATGGCTATTTGGAATGTGAACCAGTAAGTGGAAGATTCCCTCTGCACTCTCTCACTGTAACTCTGTCTTTCAAATAAATCTCAAAGAAAAGAAAAAAAAAAAATGGGAGCCAGAGGGCCAACCTCCAGGGATACAGACATGGCGTGGCTCCGCCCTCACCTTGTCAATGAAGGAAGCGAACTGATTGTTGAGGGCTCGTATCTCCTGCGTTTCCTGCGTTCGCACAGCCTGGAACTGAGGGTCAATGTCCACTTTCACGGGAGCCAGCAGATTCTGGTTGACGGTCACTTCTCGGATGCCCCCCGAAGGGCACGGGGAAAGCCCAGCTCCACCGTTCCCCTGGCCAAACTGCAGCCCCAGCCTCGCTCGTGATCCCCAGGCCCTGCCACGGGAGCCTCCTCGGCACCCCCCAAAGGAGCCGAGGCTCCTGCTGCTGAAGCCACTGCCCCTGCCACGGCCCCGGGAAGGGGCAGGAGAGACTGAGCGCACACTGAAGTCCCTCGGGGGTCTACACGGCGAAAGAGACATGGTGGGGATGAATGGATGGGCAGCTGTAGACAGGCAGGCCGCTGGCAGATGTGTGTGACTTCCTGCCCTGGGGCCCCTGCACGAGACTTTTATCCCCTCCCGGACCTGGGTTGGGTCTTGGAGAGCACATGCCCTTGGTCTGACTGTGTTTGTCACTCTGCTCCAGCTGACTTCCTCTGACGCACTTGCAACAGAGGTGTTCCGGCACGTGCAAGGGCACAGGAAAAGGGGACCCAGAGCCTGCCCCTGGAAGCTGCCCAGCTAGTCGGGGGAGATGGCCTGCAGTCAGGTGCAGCGGATGAGACAGCCCTGAGTGGGTCCTGGGGGCTGATCAAGGAGGGCTTCCCAGAGGTGGAGAGAGGCAAGGAGGAGACAGAGACAGAGGAGCGCAGAGGACGCATCAGAGCACCCCTGGATAGTGGGAACAAAGGACAGGAGGCTTCTCCAAGGGAGCTAAGGAGCTGGTGGTGCCTTCGCCGGCTAAAAGACACTCCAGGATTTGGAAATGCAATACAAAACAGGATAGCCAAGTCCCTCCTCTTGCCCAACCCAGCAATCAACCACAAGGCACCACCCGCTGGAAGCAAGCATCACCCCCCGCCCCATGCCCCGACCAAGGCTGACTGGCTGGCAGGTAGCAGAGCCCAGCCCCTGGCCCTGTACCTCTGCCAAAGCCAGGCTGACCCACAGGGTCAAGTTCTGTGAGCATCCAGTGGGCAATCAGAGGCTCCCTACTCCAAAGTGAAATGTCCCCTGGTCATAGGGGTTGGGGAAGGAAGGGACAGGACTGGCAGTGTGGCTTCCTCCTGGGCCACATGCTGGCTGTGGCCCAGAAGTCATGCTAACGGAAGAGTCCTCTAGGATTCACCTGCTAATAGCCTTGGTTCAACCTCACACCCCAGGCAGGATTCCTGGCAGAAAGTCTTCCAGAAGCTTCCATGGATGTTCCTGCACTGCCAGCCAGATATAAGAATTTCTAGCACTCTCTGGAACATTCTTTTTGTCCATAGCAAGAAGGCTATCCCTTCCTCACCCCCCCCTCTGACTTCCTTAGAGCCTGCTACAGTTGGAATCTGGGGTACTGGGGTTCCAGAAAAACACCTCTTCTTGCCTGGTAAACACTCAAGAGATGCTATGAGGAAGTCAGTCTTGATAGCTGGGACAGTACCAAAAATACTCCACCCAGGACCAGACCTCAAAGACCTGGGGCATCCCCCTCCCTCCAGGGGATCCAAACCCCTCCTCCCCCGGCCTCACATGCCAGTACCCTCTAGGGCCTTCCCTTCTCAGAAAAGGAGGGGACAGGTGGGGTAAAGTGAAAGAAGAGCAGGTGCAGCAAGGATATGGGGTGGAGAGAGGAGCTTAGACCCATTAAGGCCGCACACCCCTAGCCCTGCTCCCTTCTCCATCCCTGATAGGGACCATCCTGTAGGGACCAGTTTCTATGCCTTCCTTGTGGACCCCTGGGACATGCTTGACGAAGGTCTCCATGGGCCATTGTCTCAGCACCGTTGAGGTGAGCCAGCTCCACCTCCGTGAACTTCCCCATAGCTGTAATATCACAGCCACAAGGGAGCTTCAAGGTCAGCAACACCTCTGATTAACAAGGGAGGACTCGAGGAGGTGTAGGGCCAGTGTGCACCCTTGGGTAACCCAAGAGGTGGCTGCAAGCAGCCCCCACATCTCTGCCCTCTCATTCCGGGACCTGAGAGACCTGCTCAAGGCCACCCACGCAGCTGCTCAGCCCCGTCCCACCCAGCTCAGACCACCATCCTACAGAATAGCCCACAATGAGCCCACCAGGTATACCCTCCGAACTGCTCAACCAACTGCCACCAAGCATTCAATCATGACCTACAACGTCGATCCTCCCACTGCTCTGTCCAACTCTGCATCTGGCATAGCCTAGACCTCAGGAAGCATCTGTTTTAAGAGACAATCTTTTTTTTTTTATCCAGGACAGTGGCAATCCCCAAATTCATAAATGCTGCTGCAAAAGATGCTAGTCCTACTTACAATGTTTAGAAGACCACTGTGGTGCTGTGGATATGCCACTGCTTGGATGTCGACATCCCAGATCCAAGTGCTGGTTCAAGTCCTGGCTTTGCAGCTTCCATCCAGCTCCCTGCTAACGTAGAGGGAGGTCTGAGTGCTGGGGCACCTGCCACCCACATGGGAGACCTGGCTCCCCACTGTGGTTATTTGGGAAGTGAATGAGAAGATGAAAGAGCTGAGTGTGTGTTTCTCTCGCTCGCTCTGTCAAATAAATCAATATATCACTTTTTTTAAATGTACTGGCTCGTATGCCTGTCTCGTCTTCTTGTACCTGGTTTCTATTTTCAGCTCCAGCTTCCTGCTACTGTGGACCCTGGAAAGCGGCAATGATGGCTCAGATGTGGATGGGACATCTGGATTGAGTTTCTGGCTCCTGGCTCTGGCCCCAGCCCCAAACTGGCCATCATGGCTATTTGGAGAAGGAGCAAGAAGGTAAGCGCCCTCTCTCTCTCTCTCTCTCTCTCTCTTCTCTGTATCTCTCTCTCTGTCTCTCTCTCTCTCTTTCTCTTTCTCTCTCTCTCTCTCTCATGTTAAGTCAATCAGTCAATTCCCAAAAACATACATTGGTTGAGGAAAACTTTGCTGGGTCGCATCTCCCCTGGCTCTCCCCTGCTCCAGGTCAACTACCCCACTCCCAGCCCTGGTCCCACCTCTGAAGACGCTGTGGACAGCATGGCTCCCTCAGGGCTGTCTCTCCAGCAGGTCCAGAAACTCGAGAGTCTAATGACACAACAGACAACAGGCAGGTCATCAGATAGATCTTCAATGGCAATTATTACCAGGGGAGACAAGTTCAGGGCATGAAATAGCCTTAACCTACTTTAGTCTTAATTTGTTCGGGAACACGCCAGGGACACACCTGCCTTAGGCCCTTGCATTCAATGCCTCTTCTTCCAGGAACACCCCACCTCCCAACCTCCTCCCAGCCTTCATCCCACAGCACCCACTCCTGTATGCCCTGGACCCCGTGGCTGGTCAGGCAGCACCCTTCCCTCCCTCCCAGGGTGGCCTCACTGTGCGCCACACCAGGTCTCAGATGGCAGAGACTTTGTCCCTTTGGTCCTACTCCTGCAAGGAAGCCTGGTCTCCAGCAGGGGCTGGGGGCTGAAGGCCAGAGCCCTCTGCACCTCTGCCTGCATGGTTTCTTTCCGTCTTGCAGCCTCCAGAGATCCTCCGCTCTAATGTACCCTTCCATCCTCACACGCTAGGCGCTGCCATGCATTTTGAGAACTGTGGTTCAATTACTGAGTCTGTGTGTGTGTGTGTGTGTGTGTGTGTGTGTGTGTGTGTGCTCGCCCCGTGTGTGTCTGTGTTTGTATATATGTGTGTTAATGTGCATATCCATGTGTGTGCACCTAACATGTGTGCCTGTGTTCCTGTATGTGTCTTCATGTGGTTCTGTATATACCTGTGACTGTGGATGCTTGTGCATTTGTCATGTCTCCATGTGTGTGTCTATATAGGTGTCAGTGACCATCAATGTGTCTCTGTATTTCTAAATGTTCTCGTGTGTGTTAATGTGTGTCGATGTGCTTGCCCATGTCTCTGTGTGTTTGTGTATATGTGTGTGTATCCATGTGTGTGTATGACTGTGTGATTGCATGTCTGTGTGTTTGTGTGTGTGTTCAAGTGTTTGTCCATGTGCACCTATGTGTGTTTGTGTGTATATCTATGTGTGTATCCATGTGTGTCTGTCCATATGAGTGTGTGATTGTGTCTCTATGTGTATTTGTGTGCATCTCTGTGTGTTTGTATGACATACATGTATCCGTGTGTGCCTGTATGCTGTGTGCATCTGTGTGGTTCATGTGTGAGTGTCTGTGTGTTTCACTGTACATCCACGTCTGTGTACGTTACTGAGCATCTACAATTGGCAGAACCCTGGGCTAAGTGACACAGTAAACACCGGGTGGATGAGACCCCCAACGCTAAAAGAGAATCTAGCCCCTTGGAGGAGACCATCAATCACGGGGCAGGGCTGAGCAGCATGCCAGGGCGACGCTGTGCGGGGGAGTCCCCCTTCACCCTGGCCCAAGGACATGGACATGCAGGAAGGCAAGTATGGAGCCCTCTACCAATCTACCCAGGTGCCATTTCACACAGGTCCCATCTCCCAGCCCACCTGCCAGAGCACCACCCAGCCAAGGAAATGTGTCCTAGAGTCCCAGATCCACAGTGGCAATTGAACAAGCTATTGTGCCATCGCCCCCAGCAATGAGTTCTTAGGCTACGGGACAGGCCCTGTCTTAAGAACACCATGGATCTGAGAATATCACAAATGCTAGGCATGGAAGACCTAGTTTACACACACCCTCACAGACACTAAGCATGACATCTGAATGACCGCTTAGGGACCCAGCAAAGTAACCTAGTGGGTAAAGTCCTCTCCTTACACATGCCAGGATCCCATATGGGTACCAGTTCTAATCCCAACTGCTCCACTTCCCATCCAGCTCCCTGCTTGTGGCCTGGAAAAGCAGTAGAAGATGGCTCAAGTCCTTGGGACCCTGCACCCACATAGGAGACCCAGAAGAAGCTCCTGGTTCCTGGCTCTTGGCTTCAACCAGCCATTGCAGTCACTTGGGGAGTGAACCAGTGGGTGGAAATCTTCCTCTCTGTATCCCTTCTCTTTGTATATCTCAATATCCCCATGACTTGGGGGGGAGGGGTACTCGTGCTATGACTGCTATCACAAAGTCCCCCACCACAACAGGGGGGACTCACAGAAAGGAGCCAGAGAGAGTCAAGCAGCCCAAGGTCCTCCCAGCTGCCAGGCAGCAGAGCCAGGATTCTGGGACGGGTGTGTGAGCTCCTGAGCCTGTGCACTTAACACCCTCACAGACTCGGCCACATCCATACTGAGGGACACCTTAGCTAACATCCAGAGAGGTGGAGCAACGTATCCGAGGCTGCACAGCAGACCCAGAGCCAAAACTTACTCCTCGGCAGTCA